GTATTTTTGTAATTTCCTATTATCCATGTGAGTTTGACACAATTTATTTAGGGAGATAGTTATTACCAGAATTTGAAGTGACTCGTAACAATATACAGTAGTTCCAAAATTGTACGATTTTTATTATCTTTTATGTCGCTGCCTACCGTTGTGATACCACATTGTTGATGTTCCTCTTGAAACATTGTTACATTTAATTGGTTTTTAAGGAGGGTGATCAAGTTCCAATATACTGATGAGGCTCTCGTTGCTTGCGACATATTTTTAATATCTCCCCCATACAAGGAAGTTTTATTTTCCTTGACATTTTCGAGTTTGGGATTTGAGTGTAATACGTTTTGGGCCCCCTTAACCCCCCAAAATGTGTTTCGAAAATAAGTATGTCTATCTGCAGGTATTTTACGGTGTATTTTTGTATCTTTTATTGGCGATTTTCCCAAAAGCCCATACAAAAACAGTCCAACTGTCACATAAACCGCCCAAAAGGTTTTTATTAAATTTTATTTGTTTTTGTCCATTTAATTCCTAATAAAATGGTACAACCCCCATTGCTATAAACATTACGGTTCAAATGCTAAATGCAATTTTCGGGATTTCCTACATAAAATATCATAGCTACTCCCGCCGCTTAGAAAAGGGTGCCATTACAAGGAGAAAGTATGTGGATATCGTTTATTTACTTTATTGCTGATTTGCTCAAGATAATTTACAAACCACCGGGTAACGGATTGCATAATTGAAAGCTGCTATTGGTGATTGGCTAGGATTGATTCCGTGACTTAAGGATAGAAGTCCAGTGCTTCGACCACCATGCCAGCCGCGCCCTTAATTAAATCTACAGTAATCCACTAGGTATTCATAACTAATTCACAACACATTAATGAAAAGTTTCAGTTCGCCAGTGAATAATTTTGCATTCCAGTGAAAACTGGACTATTTTAAAGGATTAACATTGTTGTGGTCTTTACAGCATTCACTTTACGAGATAAGTTGTATGTTTGGTTAGAGAGTAGGAAACAATATACAGTTTGTTAAAGTTGTGGCCAGTTAAAGAAAATCAACCTATAGTTAGTTGAATGGGTACACTTCCATATTTTTGGCACAAACAACCGAATGAAAATATCGATCGATGTATCGATTATTCGATATATCGTTTGGTTAGCTAGGTATGGTTAACCTAACCTATCCAACCGAACGACATATCGAATAATCAATATTACTCTCGTTTGTGTGTGCCATCAGGTATGGAAGTGTATCCAGGTGAATTAAGACGGTCTCATAGTAAGCTGTTGTCACTTAATTGATATGAAATATATGTCGACTTTTTAATCATGCCAAACAGAATGTCCAACTGTAAACTAAAGTACTTTTAATATTACCATAGCCTTCTCTTATACGTGTGTGGCAACGTCGCGCCGTTCTACATGTATTGCTATGGTAATAACAGTACAGTAACACCATTGCGTAGCTCCATTTTGAATTAGTACAACAGTATCGGTAGGTGAGCAACAGTAGCTCACCTTCTTTTTATTAAAGGAGGCCATGATGTTACACCAGTCATTATCGAAAACTAAGATGATATAGAATTTTGGAAGTAGCTTACTAGGTGGCTCTTTCAATTAAGTTATATATGAATAAAAATATTAGTAGTTTTTTGGTTCAAATGGATCGAATATCTAACCTTGAACACCAAAGTCAATGTTTGTACATTTTGCATTGTTAGTTGAATTCCTCATCACGTATTCCAGTGGTTTAAGGGTTGTGTTGTGTCCATACTAAACACAACAACAACATGTCTAGGATGGTATATGCAGAGGGAAAATATAAATGGTGAAAATGTTTTGATAATGTCACATCCATCGTTGTTTTAACAAATAAACGGTATCAACACTGACGCATACTTTCTCCCATTGACAAAAACCCTCATAAGTTAACCTAATTTTTTTAATCGCAATTTTATTTACAATCTAGTCTTTTAAACATTTAGCAAATATGAGAACAATTAATAAAAAAAAAACACTAGTTAGTCTATCCATCGACAGACCCATCGTAACTTAAAAATATTGAAGAAAAATAAAATAAACTATAATGAAATTATCTAAACAAAGGGTGAGCTGAGGTCTAAAACATGAGTTCTTTTCAGCCTGTATGTAGCGGCACTATTGTCCAAGAGGTTTAAAGCCAGGCTTGCAGGATGAATCTTAAATCTTTTGATTGAAATCTTTGGATTATATTTGTGTTTGAAATTTTTGATGTTCCCCACAGATGAATGCCGTACGTTCACACTGGTTTCAGAATAATTTTTAGTTCTATAATAATATTTCTATAATCATTGCAAAGTTTCAGTCATGTCAGTGGACATATTTGTCCAATGAAAAATTAACTAAATTAATTCTGAAATGAACACATGTTTACCAAAGTAGTCCAAAATACCACTCTAAGCCTAAACATAAACAACTAATTGTTTAATTCCTAAAAGGGGAGTTGTAAGCATTTTTATCGACTTCCACTAATTCGCCGTTGCTGTTATTACCATCTAAATGCGGCCTGTGTTTTAATATTCACTATTTAATTTATGAAGCGATTACTAATTCATAGCAGTCCTCGATGTTTTCACGCTACAAAGTTCCACATTTCATGTTTGTGGCGTTCGAGTAGTGCAGTGTTTTGGTTACTTTGTGTTTGAATTTTGGTGCAAAAACGTTAAAAATACTGGGGGTAGTTCTGAAATTTTTCAGTTGGTCGTGTTACTTTAGGAGATAGACTTTACAATTAATTAACTCGTTTACTGCCTCTTAACTCATGTGAGCTAATTAGGATAGGTAGAGACTGTTACTATGTATTTAAATTAAGAATGGCATATTTGCAGTACTAAGCTGTCCCAACCTGATTCATTTACTTTAACCAATTATTTCTTACAAAATCACGTGGATCTAAGTTTGTCTACATGAAGAATTTTTTGTAAAGTTTATTTCATAAAAATATCCTACATAACCAAAAAAAAGTCATTAACGCGAATTTCCCATACAGAGAGCTATTACCATAGATCTCCAGTATAGACTCGTAATCGAGTTACTTTTCATGTTTGACTAAAATTCTATAAGGATGAGAAAAGTGTTTAGATTGCTAGAAAAGGTCGATTAAAACAACCAGTTAATATCCAAGTGGGTAAATCGACCCCTTTAGCCCGGGTAGAAGCGTTTAACCCAAGCGGTTAATCCAGGACATAGATTAAACAAACTCCCTTAGTAGATTTATCATCCTTATGAATCAGCAGACGGTTTCAATATACTTTATGACTGGCGTTTACTATTTAAGCCATCTAACCAACTTAAGCAAATTTAAAAAATAAACGTTATCAGCAATCTGAGACACACTTTCTTCCATTAGCTTGTCAACATCCTTTATCACGGAGCGGTGGATTTAACTATAATATTATATAGGAAAAAACACAAATTTAATGTTGCAATAACTTTTGAATCGTTATTGTTACGGCACTGAGGGTTGCAAATTTTCTTTAGAATTATAAGGATCATAACACATTAATTTTAATCAAACTCGGCTTAGGTTAACCTTACCTAACTAACTAAACGATATATCGAATGAAACAATCGAGTAATCGATATTTCCATTCGGTTGTTTGTGCCAACAGATACGGCAGTCTACCCCAATTCAAAGCGAATGATAGATAACAGACGTTGAAATGGTTGCGATCAAATCTAACTTAGTGATCGACTTTAATTGATTACCTCCAACATTAGGGCTTACCCAGCTTTTGTAAGTTAAAGCAAGTTTGGTTAACTTCAATGGAACTGTCGTCGCAGATGTTACCGCATGTTGCGTCGAAGGGATTTAGTTGGGATTGAGTTTAAATAAGGCCGGGATTTACTTTTAGGAATCTCGTAATTTAATGACTGCAGATTAATGCTAAGGCTCAACTCGTAAAAAGGTAGCTTGAGCTAAGTGAAGTTACACATCTATAATTTGTGGGTTTTACTGTATATGTTTCGGCGGATCACCAACGAGTTAGATATCGAATACCATTTTTTAACCTAAAGCTACTACATATTTCATGGATTCACTATATTTTAGGAAATGGAGAAAAGTGATATATTTATAGACCAATTTAGATTTGTATGTATTAGCCAACTGTGCCGTAGGTAAAAGGAGTATTAAAAAGGTTTAAATACCTGCTATCAAGCAATCCATTTATTAAAAGGATTAAAAGGATTATTCAAATAGGATAGAAACGACAAACGCTATCAAAACTGAGCAAACTTTAATCCCAAAATGAATACAACCGAATAGCCCCTAATGGTTCCCAGAACTACAATCTAAATAGAAACGATAAACCTACCAACTTGAATCTCAAAATTAATATTACCTCTCCTCTTGATCAGCCCTAGTTTCCAGAACTGCAATCAAAATCAGATTGAGAGTTAAAAATGGATAGTTACGAAACAGAAACAATGGAGTAAGTATTTGTAGTCCAAAAGAATCCAGAACTAAAATGAATATTCGAGTTTAAGATTAAAACTAGAAACATTGTCTAAGCAGTTAACTGTTCACACCCTGTATACAGAGCGCTTGAATCACGAACGTCTGATCAATTAAACACACTTCCTCCTTATATAGACCTCCTGAAGATAATTTTAAAGTTAAATCTAGCCTACTTCGTTTAACTAGAGGGCGTTTGATCGTTTATTAATTTGTTATTGTTATTTCACCATTATCTTTTTCGTCGAACTTATAAATTTATTCTAAAACTATTGCTTGCTCTCTGGTTAAACATAGAGTAAAGTGCAAATTCTTAAATTCATCCTAGAATAGAACCATTAAGTCGACACACACATTTTCGTATTTTTTTCCGAATCGGTGATAAGTGTGTAGACAAGAACTAGTCACAAAAACTCTACGTTTCGAACACCAAGAGTAAAAAAGGCCTTCGTGAAGATCTTTGATAAGAAGAAAACTATTGTCACAATTTTCAGAACCAGCAATCAATGGATATAGGTGTGGCTTAGAGTAACAAAAACCTAACATTCCGAACACTACTTGAAAGAAATTTAAGTGAAAGTGAAGAAAGTAAAGGACAGGACGTGTTGAAGAAGCAAAGGATTCCAAAACCGCGATCTTAGATCCAGATGAGACGCTTTTTTCCAGACCTGCCATAAGTGTGTAGGCAAGAACTAGTCGCAGAAGACAGTAGTAGAGAGTGACTCGCCAGGACGGTGGCGGGACGACGTCGGGTCAGTCCTGTAGGGGTGGCGATGGAGACTCTGGCCGTCGAGGAGCTGGTGCCCGGGGTGACGACGCCGCCGACCCGTCAGGCATCGGGGTCTGGAGAGCGACGACGTAGCTTCACACGTCTGTTCGCCAATGATGGGACGCTCAGGATACCTCTGCAGCAAACGCAGGATGATGGTGAGGATTTGTGTTGAAGGAATGTGTTGTTTGTTTCGTAGGTTTCAGGATAGGGATTGATGAGGGTATTTTTTTGTTCTGTTGCTCTTTATGTGGTGAGGGCCGTCGTTGATGAAGCAGGGTTGCTGGGAGAGTGAGGTACCTATGAGCCTAAACTGACATAACCTAACCTTATCTAATCCCAAACCTTATCTATAGCACATTTTAACCTGACCTAACCCACAACACCTAACCTAACTTAATCTGACCTAAAACCTAACTAATCCATTTTAACCCGATCTAGGCTGACTCAACCTCATGCCTAACCTGACCAGACATAAACTCTAGTCTATTTTAACCTGACCTAACCCAACCCAACCCCTAACGTACTTCTGACCTAAAAACTAACCTCTAGCCCATTTTAACCTGACCCAACCTCTTACCTAACATAACCTAATCTAGAAAGGAAATCTTCCATGCATCACACACATCCAGATTACTGTTTAAAAACTTTAGAAATGAACTCTGCGATTCATACCCACGTAAACCCTAGTTTTGTGGAGTTTTCAGGATACTAAGAAACTCATTATATCCCATTTCAGGCCCCACCCGAAAACGACCTCACTCCGTTTTCCTATTTGGATATAATTATATTGATAATTTTCCCAGTGATCGTGGATCTTACTGAGGCTGCTCTTAGCCATTGGCATAATTCATGAAATTCACTAAATTTTTATTTGCAAGTTGTTTTGTTTGTTGATTTGGACGAACTCCTCCTCCTATGGCACCCTTCTACTGAATGACGTATAATTTTCTCTCATACTTGATGGTTGATGAGAACAATTATGCTGTACAAATAAGATCTTCTGTTTGCAAAATATGGTGTATCGAAAACACGGCGTTTACGTTACTTTCTGTTGGTTGCTCAATTAAATTTAGTTTTCTTATAAAAAATTGTCAAATCTTAAACACGGAAACTAAATGTCTACTTCACTGTGGTATAGGCAAACATATTTTAAACAGTTTTAATTTAATACATTAATTTTACCAACCAAGTACGTTTAAAACAGTTTTTGCATACACAACATTCAAGTTGAAATATTGCTTTGGAGACTAAAACGCCACTAACCCTGAATTATTACGAAGAGAATTTAAAAGGCAAACTTGTGAGATAAGCCAGGCCTTGTCAAGGGTTCTTCTAAGCTCTTGATCGCAGCTGGTAAATGAGCCTCCCCTTCATCGACCACCCCTATCTGCTCTTAACTTGTATGCTTACAGGCCTGATTACGTTATAACATCTGAATTCAAACAACACACTAAATAAACAGAAGTGGTGGTTGAGTTATTGTAGTCTCGCTTTATCGAGAAGGTCGCCCGTTCGATTCTGACAGTGAGGTACATAACTGGACCCTGTCTTAGATGACGGGCATTAAATGGTACTGGATAAAGAAACAAGTGATCCTAGTCAGTAAGCTACACAAGTATAAAAAAATATAGCTTTTCCGTTATTAATCACGATGGTTTTTCATTTTTAAATGTTACAACTATTCTGTATAGTATTGGGTTAATTTAAACTTTGGTTGGGGAACCAAACCAAGGCATAAGTTCAATTGTGTGTTGTGACATACAAATTAGTGGTTGTGAAAGTCCCGAATCGCCGAATTAAATCCCCAAAATCTTATCCCACTCCATTCAAATCGATAGAATTAAATACATCAAATTTACATCCATATTTACAATAGTAAAGTATCATCATCCTCATAATCAAGTCATATTTTCTAAAGTTAGTAGGTAACATAAGTATAAAGTAGTATTAAGGTATAAGTGATTGTGATCGTATATGAAGTATCCTATAAAGTTAGTGGCACTGCTCAATCCTCATGCCTTGAATACCAACTACTAAAATGTGATCCTTTATAAATTCGCCCGTGTTTTGCACCAATATCTGTTTTAGCAAAACCACATAAAACCAACTTATGCTACCTTTATGGTTACCCATCTAGGTAACATTCATACGACAAAATTGTTGTTTATACCGTTGGTTGCTATTTTCTTGTCTATAATGTGCTTTGCTTGTGACGTTCCACAGATTCCGGGCCGAAGGCAAGGTTACTCTTTTATCACTTCCCTCATTTCCTTGTTTTGCTCAAGTTTCAACGATATACACCTTCTGAATTCAGGTTCTGAGTTCCGGCATTTGTGCCCTGGTTTTACTCAGGAAAATATGGAAATGGCAATCTTCAGTACAAGCCACAGTTGAAAAACATTGATGACTCTTGTGTCAACATTTTTCATCACTTTTTAACTACCCTGGAAAGTGAGATCATAGATGTAAGAGTAGACAGGTCTACACTATAGTAGACAGTAGACCAAGAAGTATGTCTTTAATCTATGACGAGACGTTATTCGGTAGATTTTTAGGAGAGCTAAAAGTAGAGACAGCTCACGTCTGTTATCATATCGCCCATCGCCCATATGGTCCTGTTAGTGGGAATCAGTGTCTCTTATCTTCAAGTGTCACATATACAGCCAGTCAGAGACAGTGAGAAGAAAAATAACATTATCTCTTATCAGCTGTCGCGTCCGCCCTGCTTGGCGCGCCTTTCTAAAAATAGATCCTCTCTCAAGTAAACAGTTCAAAGTTCAACAGTTGTATGCCAGTTGTGTTATTTCTGCTTTGTGTCAACTGGCTTACCGAACCGTCTGTTCGGGAGCGTCTATCTCGTTTATAGGTTAGGTTTGGTTTTAAGCCTGTTTGTTTGGTTGGTTTGTAATCAATTGACAAGGTTAAGTTGGTGTTCTTGAAAAAATGGATACAGGAGCCTCGTCGAATTATATACTTTTGGAACCGGTTCCGGGAACCAGCAAGTATGAAATAGGAACATGTAAGTTACCTCTTTATACTGAAACGTTGGAATTTTTATTTTACAAATGTTTCAATATTTATACGTACAAAATTCCATATTATGATTTGTTACAACTGTTTGGGCTGCAGAGTCTAGACCTGAGGAGAAAGATCATAGGTCAAGTGTTCCTGTACATACTGGTGCGTGGAGAGGTTGACGACGCTGCTAGCCTGGCCTGTCTTATCGCGTACCCTGCTTCAATAGTAGAAACAAACATCTCTTCTCTTTGCCCTACAGCCGCACCACTGCCCATGCCTCCTCCCCCCTCTATCGATTAATGAAAGACTACAATTTGGCAATAGAAAAATGCAATAGTATTGATATTTTCTCTGACAACTTGCAAAATTTCAAATTAAAATTAAAAACAGTATTATTCACCAATCAATAATATATTTATATTCACTGTTGTATTTATTTTACTATTCAGTATTTATGTATTTATATAATTTATCATTGTTAGTCTTTTTTAAATATTTATATATTGTTGTTATATTTATTGACAATTTTATTTTTTATGTTATTATTGCATGGTATGAAAGTGTAAGTTAGATTGAAGTGAATGGACAAGAAGAAACCCACTGAAGAAATTATTATAAGTGCATGAACTGCTTCAATGTGAATGGTGTACACTGTATTGAAGCATGAAAATAAAATAAAATTTGGAACGCCTTGTTGGAAATTGGAAACGAGTAAATTGAGCTGATGGTAGTTTGTGTTATCAATTGAAACGCAGTTTTAACACACGCAAATTGTGAAATTAGGAAAATAAATAAGTATAGATTATTTGATCTATAAAAATTTCCAGTTTAAATTTTATTTTTGTTTATTATTGCCGTATTTTTACAGTTCCGTATACAGTATTACCGTATACTTTTCAAATGAAATTCCATCACTAGATATTAAGTAACCTACCTATTTAATTGTAAGTCGTATTCTTGTAATGTTATGTTCAAGTCACAAATATACACATTATAGTGGAATAGGTTACAGAATAGGACTGGCCTTTGAAGAGGTAGGGGATGCGACGTTGCCACTTCGTTCTTGTGCGGTGAGCTGACTTTCACCTGGAGCCTGGCACCCCTCTATCGTCCCCCTTGTTAAGTTCAGTTCAACACCACAAATTAATAATTTATTTGTTCTTGGTGGTATTGGTTAGTATTGTTATATTTTTATATCGTATGGAACACAAAATTCATCCCATACATTATTATGGTTTGTTATTTGCTACACAATTGTCTTTCAAATGGCTCAAACAGCTACCAGATGCAGTTTTTGAAAAATATATAAACATAAAATTAATTAATTTAACAATAAATTTATATGACCAAACAATTTGTATAGCAGTTCTTAAAATCTTCTAAAATATTGCTCAGCTTATTGTTTGATACATGAAACAAAATTCACATGGAAATGAAGAATAAACAATCTACCATATTAATTATTCATTTGAGATGGGGACGCCACCTATGAGTGTATTTTAACCTAAATATGAGTGTAGAATAAAGTGAGATGCCTTTTGTAGCTTTGTTACTGGCCTGTTTCGAATTATTAACACACTTTAAGGCAATTTCTTGACCAAACAAGAGGATATGCTCGAAGCGCAGAGGTCGGCTGTCGCTGTCGGGCAAAGACTGAGTGCAGAGTGCGTGACTGCTTGGCACAACCTGGCAACAATGGACAGTTTTCTGAAAGCTTATTGGATACCGCTTGCCCACACCCTACCCAACTCGAACTGGTTCCGGTTCTATTCTCTGTAATCTATTCAACTAATAAATAATAGTTCTGTGCTTTCTGCTTTGTGTCAACTGGCTTACCGAACCGTCTGTTCGGGAGCGTCTAGCTCGTTTATAGGTTAGGTTTGGTTTTAAGCCTGTTTGTTTGGTTGGTTTGTAATTAATTGATAAGGTTAAGTTGGTGTTCTTGAAAAAAAAAAAAAAATGGATACAGGACCCTCGTCGAGTTATATACTTTTGGAACCGGCTCCGGGAACCAGCAAGTATGAAATAGAAACATGTAAGTTAACTCTTTATACTGAAACGTTGGAATTTGGAACACCTTTTTGGAAATTTGAAACGAGTAAATTGAACTGATGGTAGTTTGTGTTATCAATTGAAACGCAGTTTTATCACACGCAAGTTGTGAAATTAAGAAAATAAATAAGTAGGCCTATAGATTATTTGATCTATAAACATTCCAGTTTACATTTTATTTTTGTTTATTGTCGTAATTTTACAGTTCCGTATATTACCGTATACTTTTCAAATGGAATTCCATCACTAGATATTAAGTACCTATTTAATTGTATGTCGTATTCTTGTAATGTTATGTTCAAGTCACAAATATACACATTAGCATTTGAGTGTTTTACGGACTTTGGTGTTAAAATTCCATCGAAATAAGTTAACCCTGTTAGGCCTACTATTGGAACTGCCGACTGCTATAATGAAAAATAAATAGTGTATCTAACTTGTTTACCTATTTCTTATCATCGTCCTAATGACTTTAGTTATCTTTTTGGGACTGTAACACTTTTTATTGAGGCGGTGCAATCCTTATATATAATACGTGAAGGCAATTTCTACGAAACACTACTCCTCCGTTAATAATGGACGGATTTTTACAAACCATGTGTCAAAATGAAGTATTGTTTGTGTAGATGCCCCCTTTCACCAATTCCTGTAATAAAAGTCCTTGGGCTTTGCCCCGGCCACAGGCCATCAAAATCCCAATGTATTTCTTATGGGTAAAAGGTGTTGTTTACTTAAACGAACGAATAATTTGTATTAATTACAGCTGTTCATAATAAACACATGATACACACATCAGCATTCGTTTTCAGTTTCAATAACTGGAGTGGAGTGATTGATTACATTATCTTTAAGTTGACTCTTTTAAGTCATCGGAAATTATGACTGTTATTCGTTTTGAAATAACGCCCTAATACTTTGCAATTGCTCGAATTCGAGCGACAGGTGCACTAGTACCATAAAATATAACACTGACACATTTTAGGCGGCAGCCACACAAACCCACTCTATCACTGCTCTCATGGCTAATTTGTAAACAAAACGCAAAACAAGCCAAACACATCGACAGATTCCAGGTTCTGAGTTACACAGTTTAGCTCTCTGCTGGATTGTTGTTACGTCTAACAATGATGAATATGAATGGATTGATCGCTGTGTCCAGAAGTGACTTGTTACTTCGAATTTTAATTTGAAGTGATGATAAGTGAAAAGTTAGATTTTACGAATGTGTGGTTTGGTTAAAAACCCCTCAGTTCTTGTAGTATTGAATGTTTGATCACGATAAATGTGTGATTTTGAGAGTTAATACGGAAAATCTGTGTGTTTGCTTTTTTGTGAATGTATTTTTCTTAATTTTCTATTTACATATTGCACACTAAACTAATTACATTTAACTACTTTCCCTGTAGCAGCAAAGTAAAATACCTAATGTTTTTTAAGGAAATAAATCTGCAATGTTTAAGGAAATATTTTTGTGCAAACCCAATCAGGCTAATGGAAATTGGTTTAGTCTACAGGTTTGCTGCACCGGGGTATCTCACCACTATGTGTAGGGAAAACTAGTATACTTAGTTTACAATATTTAAGTGGTTTTAGGGGATCTATCCCCTCCACCTGACCCTTCGTTACCTTAAAAACAATAGCTCAACAGCTGATTAAGCGTTGAATAAAAAAAACTTTGGTGGGGGAACTTCCCCTCAAACCGCCTAAATATTGTGAACGAAGTATAGTAAATAATATTTACCGAGGGAATTTTACCGCAGTGTTTCCATTGGTGTAACCCTCAGATCGATGACATAAAAGTAGACACCTCAAACACCTTCTGAGCTGAGCGACATTGTGTCATAGAGTCGAGTGCGGCGAAGGGGATGAATTATTTAACCACCCCCGGCACAGTAAACCTTAACACCGTTACCTTTGCATTCACAATACGTTTCACCTTCCCTATCGGATTCCCTTTCTTGTTTCACATCCAGTATTGAATATTTAATAAATGAGGGAATGTGTACACATGACGCTTTTGTTTTATTTTGGTTTGTGGATGTTGTTTGTAGGTGTTAAATTACCAAAAATGCTGTAAATCTTAATTTTATATTATTTATAGTTTATACACTGTAATACACACTGATACACTAAAACAGTGATGGTCAAAACTATAAATTTGGAATCTCGAAATTTGGAATCTCGAAACAAGACTGAATCTTACAAAATAAAATCTTGAATCTCGCAACCTAAACATTCTGAAAAAGAAATCTGGTAATAATATGTTTACTTTGCAATCAAAACTGAATGAAATGGAAGTCCTGACTGACATAATAACATGGCTAATCGTTAAATAATATTAAATCGGAAAAACTTAATGTTTGTATAAACATTAAAGAATGAAATAAACCCTCGACACTGACATAATAACATGAATGTGAGATTAATACTAAATTTTCAATCAAATTCAATTTCAACATTTGTTTATCAAATCTCGAAACCTTTTCAAAGTTTTGTTGGTCTTAAGATACATCACTACTGTATACAGTATATATATTTTTTACTGATACAAGACCAACCCCTGCAGTGTAAATAGTTAAATTTATCATTCTCAGATGAAAGAAAACAGAAATTGTTTTGAACTTTAAAGTGTAAGTTAATCGAGGTTCCACTAATGGGGTCCATAAAACATATCAAGCAACATTCAAGGCGTTATCCAGGATGAACAAAACTGATAACTTTTAAGTAATGGCTTCAGTTTGCAAACCAACAACATTGACACCATGTTTTTGCAGTCCAACGTTGAACGTGCTACTGAATTTAGAATTTTCCTTCAATTTACAATTCTGCGTTTTGACAAGTCAAAAATTAATCCAAAGAAACTGTAGACAAAAGTAACCTGGAAGTAAAAATACTCTTATCTTTGGACCCGTGCGAATATACTACAAAGTGGGTGTGTTGCTAGCCTATTGGTTACAGACTTCTGTACGAGAGGGACGTTATCGACCCCCGGCATATCAATTGAAATTTTAGGGTACAGGATCGACCCCTAGCATTTAATTTAAGGGGCTTTGGACTGCTTTCCTTAAAATATTTGGTCATAATTTAATTAAACTTCACTGGTGTGGACAAAAAATGTTGACAAATTCGGTATTTTTCAGCGGAGCCTGCAGAAGAGCCGAGCCTAGTGGAGTGGTTGGCAATCGTTTTCAGTGTCGTTCTGCTCATCATTACCTTCCCCATCTCCGTCTTCATCTCTTTCAGGGTAAATATGTAGTCTGAGTTATTAAATGTTTCTTATCACATGGTGTTTGAATAATTGAGTTTGATCAAAATCAACATGACTTTGATGTAATACTGAAATTCAAAGAAATGTCATGACTTCATGCTTTAAAGCAAGTTGAATCATTGACTATTGGATACTGATGTAGACATCCCATCTATATGGACCAGCTGTTGCCAATTCTTTATTTAAAAAAATTTAGTTTTGTGAGCTAGTCACAGAATGCGCTAGTGATTAAAATTCTATTTTATACCATATCTTTTGTTGCTGACCAAGTTGATAGGTCCTAACAGTTGTTTTAGCTCATAATAAGTCACTCCATTAGTTTGGCTTGGTAATGAAGTTTGTGTATCTAACAGAAATTAGTAGTCTAGTTTATCAACTAAAACAATTTTAATTTTAAAAAACTGTCAACAACTCAACATGGGCAAAATAGTCAACTGTCAAAATCGGGATGGAAGGTCTAGTTGTATCAATAGTCAAAGGTTGAATTACATTTTCATAATGCCTTAGATGTAGTTCTGTGATGTTTCCTGGCCTATGTATCAAAATGCCTCAAGTGCTTTTCTGTGGTTTTTCCAGCACAGGATTTAAAAAAACTATTTTCAGTATTTTAACTTTAAATTTTCTTATCCCTACATTTCAAAGGCCTTTCCGTCAAACACGTCCAGCAAAGCAAAGGATGAGCTTATGCAGAAAATAAACCGTTCTGATAAATACATTTTAAGTGATGGCACTACGGCGTGAACCCAAGAGATCTATCTTGGTTCCACAATCTGTTGCGAGATTCACTGAGATTGGCATTGTAATACATCTAGTGTCCTGTGGGATTTCCATTCACAATGACTCTGTTTTAGGTTGTCCAAGAGTACGAGAGAGCCGTGATATTCCGTCTAGGACGTCTCAGACGAGGTGGCGCAAGAGGTCCTGGGATATTCTTCATCCTCCCATGCATCGACAATTACTGTAAAGTCGACCTGAGAACTGTGTCCTTCGATGTTCCCCCACAGGAAGTAAGTTTTCTTTAAGAAATTGTTAAATGTGTTTTACATCTATTAGAATTTAGAAATGAAAATTGTACCATGGGGACCTGAAACTTTTTATTGCTTGACGTTTTTTGTTGAAGAAAAATACTCATTATCGTCTTGTTTAATTATGTCATTCCTTAGACTGAGTAGGCCTATTGTGATTAATGATTGGGGTTTTTAAAATTTTGTAAAAACATGAATTTGAAGGGTTTTGGTGAATGGGTCATGAAAGTCCTAATAAATTTCAAACTAAAAATTTAATAAAACTACATTTGGTTCTCAGGTTGTTAAATAAAACTGGGAAATAAATGCATTTTTGGGTCAAATGAAACATTTTCCCAAAGCTATTTGATATATTTATGCTTATACCGGTATTATTTAAGAAATAAGGAAAAGTACAAGTTCATTATCTCGTTAATAATTGGCATCAAAATGCATAACCCCTCTTGTGAAGCCATTTAAAGAACTTGTTAATTTGGACATTTCCATCTCGATTGGTGAAAAATGTTTCTGGATCTGAAGTCCCTTCTTCAGGTAAAAAAAAGAAAAAAAAAGGTTTTAAGGGTTGAAAGTACCTTAAAACTAAGAGATCAATAAACAAACCCAGCCAAAGCAATAACATCACGAAGTTTAAACTTTACAGAGAACTGTGTACTAAAAACATATTGGCTAAAAAAATCTTCTAAGAAAGACAATAGTACAAATTGAGGGCAATCAAACACGGACACATCTGTTTAAGATGGTGGTCCAACAAAGATACCAGTCTGATATCTAATCTTGTTATGTTTGAACATAGAAGCATATCACAAGTGTTTGAGCATATCACAAGTAGAATTCTCATGCCATTAAAAATTTTTTGTTTTTTTATGTCTAGTTCATGTTGGTGACATTGAGCGCTAGTGTAGACCAAATTTTGATTATCTTATTTTAGAGTTAATTTTAAGGTATGTGCTTTACTTAATGGTAAAAAATAAGAGGACAAGCTATTGTTTATAATTCAATTAGTTTATTTGGTTAAATAAATAAAATGTCATTGAAATAAATAAAATAACAAGAAATTTTTTTAAAATAAAAACATGCACGTAGCGGCACAAACCTTTACCTAGTACAAACCCTTAGTGGAACTAACCCTAAAATAGTCTTCAGCTGATCCATAAGAATGGCAAATCTAGCATAATTCTGTTTGATGGGTATGAGGTACTTTTTTAGTTGAGGACGGGATCAGATTCCAGTTCCCAAAATGTGAAAACTTTCTACTCATCGTGATTGACAATTTTAACAATAATCTCCCAAGTAAGATAAACCACCAAATTGAACTTCAAGCAAAGGAAAAAACATATACATTGTAAAAAAATTGTTACCAAAATTGTTTTCTGGAGACCTTAGAGTAAAAGAAAATCAGACGTTATTTTGGGATGAATAAATTTGACCAAACTTCTCGTAACACTCGCTTCTAGGTACTATCCCGTGACTCGGTGACGGTTCACGTAGACGCTGTGGTGTTCTATAGAGTCAACAGTCCTACCATGGCCACCAATAATGTTGAGAATTACAGGTATTCAATGTTCACAGCCTGTGTGATCGAGTCACTGTATTTTCACCGTTCTCTCCTGCTTCTTGTGGTTTATTTATTATTGGATTGTTTGGTAATGTTGTCGAGCACTTGGATGTAGTCTGTTGGGAATCGTAAAGCTAATTATCCCCGTAGAGTCAAGTGAAAGTTTTGGATTGTTGGTGAAATCGTGTTAGGAATTCTAGTTGCAGATTTTGTAGAATAGGTTATGTTAGTATTGATTGTAATTTGAGATAGAGTATGAGTTATAGGAAGTGTTTCCATCCATTGAGTAATACAAATAATTTTACTGTGACGGAGTTGCAGAATTAATAGGATTTCACAATTAAAATGTTCATCAAATATTGGAATTGAAAAAGGGCAATTACTTAAAACTTTTATGGAAAACTTAACATTGCATTTGATGAACAAACATGATTACAATGCTTATTAAATTTATAAAAGACCTGTTTCTCATATTAAACAGCTGGTTGGCGACTAATCAATGGAAGATATCTTATGAAAACATCCAGTAAAAAGTGGTTGTTTGTTCCTCTTCATTGTTCAACTTTTCGCAAAATTAACTTTTTATAAAAAACATTAAACAAAATTACCCCACTAACATTACTTAAAGCCCTTTGGTTGGAGTATATTTTTTGGTAGTCCAAGTTGAAGTAGGCCTATATTTTAAGAAAAGTTTAAGCATAAAAAGGAAATAAAGTGATGCATCAAAAATTGTATTGTCCATAAATCTTAGATTATATACAGCTGGCCCAATTTGGAAACAATACCTTCAATATTTTTAATTTTGGGAATTTAGACATTTTGTAAAAAAAACCAAACATTTTTTGTTTTACTTAATTTTAGCGTTGTTAAAAGATAGGCTTTTACTTAATTATACCATTCTAAAATTACATGATAGTGTGCTTAAACAACCTCATACAAGTTTCAATGGTAAAGCTTTCAATAATGTATAGGTCAATAGGTGAAGGTTCCAAATTATACCTTTTGTACAGCACAAAGCTAGATGATTGTATGTTTGATCATTTTATTGGTCATTTTACATCAATAGATCGTGTACGCTTTGTTGAATTATTTATCATTTGTAATGTAAAACCTACTGTGCAGTTTGGTTATCAGTTTTCTTTTGTATTTACAATCATATTAGTGCAAGATTGACATTTTTCTTTCCTTAAGATAATTTTTCTAAACAAAAATCCTTGGAACATTTAAATTTGTTACGTTTTTAATGTAGATTACATTGGCCTACCTAATAAAGTTAAAAAATAATTCATCACTAAAGAAAATACGCCATCGTTAGAACCCATTGGAACCACTCAAGATTTTTGACGAAGTAAGCCAATCATCTTTTTTATATGAGATCCTGAAGATCAATAATGATAAAAAAACTGTAGGTTTATTTAGGTAATTTTCCTAACGCTAGAATCTATACATGTTTTAGAATCTAAAATTATCGTCACCCATTCTGAAATCAGAATTTGAATCCCTAATATCGTCAAATTTATGTTTTATAATTCAGCTCTAGAAAATAACTCTATAAGCTACGCAAACTTACTATCACAAATTTTGTAACATCATTAACCTAAAATATGTCAAGTCCAATAACATGACCAACATTCAGATCACATTTTCATACAAAACTTAGGATCTAGCATTCCTGTAGACGGATCTAAAAAAATGTAAGTTGCAATTATTTGTTTTTCCTACATATTCTATGTGTTTTTTCCATATTTTCTTTTTAGTCTTGATTGTGAGCAACACCATTGTGACGGAGCATACATACTCAGTTCATGTTGTCCTTAGCACAAGTTTGTATATACGTTGGATGTTGCACATGTTGCATGCTGTATGTTGGAACGTTGTGTTTGCTAGGTGCTGACAAAAGATTCCGTCACGGTCGCTGTTGACGCTGTTGTTTACTACAGAATTGACAATCCGTTGAACGCTATAAATAACATCAGCGACTACAGGTATATTATTTTTTATTTGACGTAGTTTTGCATTGTTGGGTAACTGTTTTTTTTTATTATTAAATCATTTTCAAAGATATTAAGCTGGAGTAAAAGCTGTGAGGTTTTACAATTGACTATTGGATACTACGTAACAGTTGTAGCTTTGACTATTTGGATAGAGACCTATATAGTCCAGTAAAATAAGACATTTTGGTATGCAAAAGGTCGGGTAGTTCTGATTTTTGGATATGTTGTTAGTATTGGGCCCATAACATAAAATCCAAGTTATCCACCTCGAGATGCTGCCGCTCGCCGCGGGGCGCGCCACTTGTTATCGAAATATCAAAAATATGGCAATTCCTATTGTTTTTCACTCAATCTCGCGAACCGCTCATTTTACCGAAAATTTTATATTATTACATTAAAGAAGAATAAATTTGTGACAGTTTAAGCCCAACAGCAAGTATGTAGCGTAAATAATGGTCAAAATACAGACCATCAAAATAAATATATTTTCCAAAGACCGATAAAAATTGTGGTTTTTTCAATATTTCCACAATATAGTTGTTTGAAGCAAACACCGTATTGATTTAGAGAGTATGCCAGTTTATTTGCTATTAATATAAAATAAATGAAAGCATGAATAAAAATACCCCCACCTCAGCAAACCTGCAGACTAAGCGAATTTCCATTTGCTTGATTTGATTTTCACAAACCTATTTAAATAACATTAGGTTTAACTGGTGCCTAGGTTTGCTGCTACAGGGAGGGTAATATAGTATATAAAATAATAATAGTATGATAAGAAACAAATAAATTTACCCAATTTTATAAAAATGTGTCTATAAATAAGGAAAAAAACAATAATTAAAAATCTTTGCTATTGGAATAACTTGAGGTTTTTTAATTTACGTTTTTTAATTTTCTCCATAACCAATAACTGTAAAAAAACATTTTAATGTACTAAATTATTTGTTTTTAAGCTCTACAAAATTATTTAAAGATACAATTATTGTAAAATTGTATGTTTTGAGGGTTAAAAATGAAAAAAAAAATATTCTTACCGGCAAAATACCTACAAAGCAACCGTCCCTATGGCCTTATCATGCCGATCATGCTTTGCGAACTCGTTTTAATAAATAAATGTACGTGTGCATGATTCAATGATTCAATGCTTTACATAGGCCATTAAGCAAAAGCAATAGGCTAAGTCACTTACAATACAAAGTAAATATGATAAATAGTCCATCTCTTGATTCACAAATAAAAGTAATGTTTGTACCAAATTCCACTAAATCGGATGATTTTTGGGAATCATCGTGCTAACGGACGATAATAACTTTTTTGGATACAGTTTAGTAAAATCTTTAGTTTTTTTTTTGATACAGGATCTCCAAAAAACTTACCTACTTTGAAAATTTATTCATTTATTGTACTAGATACAAACTACTGTTCAACGACTGATACCATGGAGAAGGCTATGCTGATACATTAAATGAAAGGTAATAAAATAAAAGTTATTTTAACACTATCACACCTCAATATGCGAACCATTTGTAGCCCTGCAGACATGCAAGCTATTTTAACTCATTTTTATCATTAATATTTTATTATTTGTATTATAATTTATTACCAAAACTATGTTCAAGGTCCAGAGTTATTATACATCGATGGGTCAAATAGGTGTACGCAACTCATTGCCAACGTAAAAAACTAAAACTTTGAAGTATACTCTACACAGCACGAAATGAATATTACTCATCCATTTGAACAATAGTATCGTGAGGTATGTTCAAAACTATGGAGTCTTTTTTGGACACCCGGTATATATATATTTATATATGTTATAACAATTTGAACCAACAGTATTTTTGGCCTCTTGGAATACCAAAATGAAAAAGTAAATCGGTCCCGGGTCTAGGTCTTACCATGAGACCTACTGTAATAGCGTATTCCCTATAAGGGAAATTTGCTAATAATCAGAATATCATTTATATTGAATGGTGTGTGTTGAGGAAACCACTATTGAATCTTTTCATCAATTTCGTTGTCTCGAGCAATGCGAGAATGGCGCACGTCAACATGTTGCTCACTGTTAATGTTCAACTGATGTAATTTTTTATAATATTTCTCAACTTCCTACAGATTTGATGAGGACGGATCATCCCAAGCACCCATCAAGTTACAACATTTTGTCTGTTATCCCTGGTCCCCGAGTCAATCCACCAGAGCTTTTCATTGTCTTTATGAGGGCCTGTTCGATGGCCTAATCAGACCAAATTCCACACCAGAACTTGTCTGTACGTCTTGTAGTGAAATTTCCGATCTTTGTGAATTTTTTTTGTTCTTCAATATCAATCCTGTATTTCAATTCATATTCAGCATGTCCTGTATAGATGGGCGCACTTGGCGTGGAAAAATTACCCGCTGCATGGAATATCTGTAGAGTGATTGTAATTGGAAGATCTTATTTGCTTGATCTTTCAGCCTCAACAAACTGTTAACTATGTTAAACGGGTTTATTTTGTTTTCATGTGAAAGTATTGTACCCAAAGCTTAGCTTAAATGTTTATGTATAAACATTTGACAGCTTTGGGAAGAGTAGTGTTGCCGTTGAAGGTATATTTTGAAGGTCTGTTTTTCGGCATGTAAACCTACATTTATTAAAACGAGTTCGCGAAGCATGATCATTGAAGTATAAGACAAAACTTAGGAAATTAATTTATGTTTTTAGAAACGTACGCGAAATTCTTAACATTAATGAAATAAAAAATGTTATACTATGCATTTGTCCAATCGGTACTTCAATATGGAATTATAGTATGGGGAGGAGCTAGTAGCAATATTTTAAAGCCACTGTTTGTCATACAAAAACTAATTATTAAAATAGCTTTTTAATTCAACAGCTACAAATTTATTATTAAAAAACACTCAATTACTTTCGGTGCGTCAACTTTTTATCAAAACTTTACTTGTATATACCTACTCCAATCAAGATTTGATAGTGACGCCAATCACACATAACTATCCCACCACAAAAGCTGTAAATGTAGGTATGCAGGTACCCCGAGTTTTCAAGTCTGCAAACCTTACCAATGCTTTTTATATTGCGAATTTTTGTATAGGAATGTACCATCAGAGATTAGAGATCTACAGGTATCTCTTCCAGTTTATAAACGTTCGGTAAGCAGTTGGCTGTCGGAGATTGGGCTCGATCAGTCTGAGACACTTATCAGTTCAGTATACAATACATAACAATAATAAATACACAAGTACACCAAACCATATTTAGCGTACAGACATTAGTAACTGCAACTCCATTCACTCGACTTCCTTTTACTTAGCATTAACTGTTCCTGTAGCTGTCTCATAGCTTAGTTATAAAATAGTATTTTGATTAATTTAGTTTTAATTTTTAAGAATATTTCTAATTTGATTTGTAATAGAGCTCGTCCTGCGCACAGGTCTTTTACGGCCTATGCGGGACTATTGTTCGTATTTTGTATATGTATATATTGTAAAAAAATTTTGGAAATAAAACAGATTTTGATTTGATTTGATCAGGCCATGGGAACGGTTGCTTTATGGGGTTTTTTGTTAAGAACGGGGTTTTCGTATTTTTGACCCTTAAAACATACAATTTTACAATGTATCTCTAGACCATTTTGTAGAGCTTAAAAACAAATAATTTAGTATATTAAAATGTTTTTTTACTGTTATTGGTTACGGGGAAAATAAAAAAATGTAAAATAAAAAACCTCAAGTTTTTCCAATAGCGAAGATTTTTAATTATTGTTTTTCTCCTTATTTATAGACACATTTATATAAAATTGGGTAAATTTATTTGTTTCTTATCATACTATTATTATTTTATATACTATATTACCCTCCCTGTAGCAGTAAACCTAGGCACCAGTTAAACCTAATGTTATTTAAATAGGTTTGTGAAAATCAAATCAAGCAAATGGAAATTCGCTTAGTCTGCAGGTTTGCTGAGGTGGGGGTATTTTTATTCATACTTTCATTTATTTTCTATTAATAGCAAATAAACTTGCATACTCTCTAAATCAATACGGTGTTTGCTTCAAACAACTATATTGTGGAAATATTGAAAAAACCACAATTTTTATCGGTCTTTGGAAAATATATTTATTAAACTGTCACAAATTTATTCTTCTTTAATGTAATAATATAAAATTTTCGGTAAAATGAGCGGTTCGCGAGATTGAGTGAAAAACAATAGGAATTGCCATATTTTTGATATTTCGATAACAAGTGGCGCGCCCCGCGGCGAGCGGCAGCATCTCGAGGTGGATAACTTGGATTTTATGTTATGGGCCCAATACTAACAACATATCCAAAAATCAGAACTACCCGACCTTTTGCACAGCAACCCCATATTTTCTGACAGATTTACTGGACTAATACATGTTATTCTCATAATAAAGTTAAAGTGTCTTGCTGTCACTATGATTTTTGTTGTCCCCTTTTAGATACAGTTTGGCCATAACTTCTGGACGGGTCACTACTAGCCGAACTAAATCATAAACCAAATACGGGTAACGGTTATTGACAGTGCTGTGGGTAGGGGAGAGTGAGTAGCAAGACACAAATGCTTTCACAAAAGTCCCCCACCAACCCCCTTGCCTATAACCGACCGGATTTGGTCACAAGCACAGAAACTTTAGCCAAACTGTACTAAAGTAGACAATGCATCTATTTAGTTACCAGCTGTAGCCAATTTTTGGCATATACTACCAAAATCTATAACTTAGATCAGTAAACTCCGTTAGTGTCTAAATTCAACTAATTTCATTTTCATCATCAAACATATTGATAATACAATTTGAAAATGTTTATGAATCGTGTACTCCAATCCATAGTCAAAGGTAATAAGTATCACAGGATTAAAATTTGTGTGTTTCTATTGTCAACAAATAAACAATTTTGCTCATACCTCGTAACACAACCAATTTATGTATGTGTATCCATCTTAGACTCACAAAAATAATGTAACTTTCTCTGTAATTTCTATTGCAACATGATGTAATCTACTTTGTATTCATCAGCTGATGGACCTCTATTCATCAGCTGATTAGCCCTGGTTGCCGTAGTAACTTGGAGTTACCACCTGCATGTAAACACAAAGATGTGTTTCGTGTTTTACAAATTTGTGTACTAATATTATTTCACAGAGAAGCGTATGATAATTATAATTCTCAGAGATGCAGAACAATATTTTGATATTAATTATTCTGTACTAAATTTTGTTTGATTTCTAAAATCATGTACTGTACAGATGTTATCATCACACGCTTTCATTGGTTTTATTTCTAAGTGTGGCTTCTTATAAGCTTGTACAATTTATTTTATCAAGTGTGAAAGCATGACACAGCAAGTCACCAGTTCATTAAGAAGTAGAAATTTGTTTATGTCATTTTGACTTAGTAGATTTAGTATATAGGTTCTAGTTTTTATGTGTTGTATATTTTTTGGATTGATATGTAATCTGTTAGATGATCAATCTAAAAAATTATATGATATGTCAAGCAAACTCATAATAGAAAGTTTCTAAACATGTGTTTCCTAGTTTGCAGTGTAAATTTTTCACTAATTTACCTTGTTAGGAAATTAAACAGAAATACACTAACTAGGCCTAGGTAAAAAAATTGTGAAACTTGTCAACAAAATCAGCAGATACAAGTCTTGTGTATGTCTGCTTGGTAGTTTGTTCAAAAATATTTTGAAACCAATTGGTCGTGGGATTTTTTATATACCAAAAGCTATTGCTTTTGAGTGAAAAAAAACTTTGAACGTTGAAAAATTTTTCTTGTCTAAAACCCTTAATTTTCAAAGTATAGAAATTGAGAAACTATTTTCTCAACAACAAATATGTTTAGCTTTAAGTTTACTAAATGGTTTATTAGTTCTATACAAAGTTTTCAGCAATACGGTATATGAAACAAACGTCAAAACACCAATTAAACTGTAAGTTGTAATTCTTTGCATTGCAGCCACTCCACTCGTCTGCTAGCTGCGACCACATTGAGGAATGTGCTCGGGACTCGTAACTTGTCCGAGATCCTCTCGGAGAGAGAGAACATCTCGCACACGATGCAGTCCAGCCTGGACGAGGCTACGGACCCTTGGGGAGTGAAGGTGGAGCGCGTGGAAATGTGAGTTGAGAGAAAATATTGTGTCACTGTCAGATATAGTGTTGTATAACATAGCTACAGCTGTGTTGTACTAACTATAAGTTTGGTTTAAATATTTATGATACAAGAACGCAAACTAAATGTAATATTCATTTTCCTAGCTGTACATTTGCTGTCTGAGGGTATATTCATTGATAATGACTAATATTGATGTCTAAAGGTAACTTTTGCATGTTTCATGTTCAGTAAGGACGTGAGGTTGCCTGTCCAGCTCCAGAGAGCAATGGCCGCTGAGGCCGAGGCCGCTCGAGAGGCGAAGGCTAAGGTCATTGCGGCCGAGGGAGAAATGAGAGCATCGCGAGCTCTCAAAGAGGCCTCTGACGTCATCTCTGAAAGCCCTGCTGCCTTACAGGTGATCTTTGTCTTATTTTGTGAAATTAGCCTAAACATCTTTCTAAAACAATTGCAAGTGAATTTTCGTGTAATAATTGTTACACAAGTGTCAGTGGTTATTTAAAGCTACATATTACAACTAACAATACACAAAAGCCTGAGCTAAGTTGGAATACACTGCAGAGAGTAGCAGTCAAATAGCTTAAGTAGCTTGTAAATATATGAACTGTATAGCAGTCAAGTCATGGTAAAACATGCAAAAAATAATCAATCACAAAACACAATAAAGTCTATATAAGATGTCACGTAAATAGCTCACACAATGGAACACGAATAGCACAGTTCGAAATGACTCCACCAATGAGACTGATAACTGTGATTGTTTTTAATTTTCTACGTGAACTTTTTGTTCGTCACATTTTTTTAAAAGAAATATTTCATTTCATTTCATATTTCATTTTTTAAGATTGAGGTGTCATGGTAAAGCTTATGATCTAGCAGAGTGAAAATGGTAGCTAAAAATACCATTTCATTTAGGGCATCGCCACTCTAATGTAGGCGAGTCAGTTAATCTGTTATTTAAACAATGCAAATTTTAAGATCTTATCGGCACTTTTAGATACACTGACACTGGACCCTTCACAGTTCATATAGAATGATCAATTTAGATTTTCTAATGTCCACAGGCAATTCCAGACGTAGAAATCGTAGTGTGGGCGTTTGGTCAGATGTAGCCTAGGCTTTACTTCTCGTGTCAAGTGCCTTTCAAAAAGTCTTCCAGGTTGTTTAGGAAATGGCACAAGCATGAATCTGGAAAATTGATCACACGGATGTGCTACTATTAGATGCTTTGCTTTAATAGATGCTTGTAAAATTGACAAGGCTGTAGAAATTAGAGGATGGATGTATCAGTTAGCTTACACTGTTGTAAATTATTATGGAATTATTAAAAAAATTAAGGGGGTAAACGACATGTTTATTGTAATAGCAATACCATCGGGGAAGCTTAAGTAGTGAGCATTTCTGCCATGAGGCCTCCTTAGTGGAACTCACAGTCTATTAGGCATGTAGAATGTCTTTAAATTATTGAAGAGTATCGTTTTCATTGATCACTATCCAGGCCACAGACAAGAAATGCTGCTTTGAAATTGTAAGATGCCAAAAGGCCATGTTTTAAAGAATTTGTTTATTTTTATTCTCATTAATAAAAGTAGGAAACAAATACATACATTGTTTGACATTCATAAAGTCTTTTAGCTTCAGATTCTTTGTATTATCTTTTGCATTTTTTAGCTGTAGAATACATTTGTTACTATTAGAATTCAGATAGTGTGTGTGGTTTAGTTGCACTTTTTCAATATCTTTTTAAAGACTTTAAACTTTTACCTAAAATAATACCAGCAGCCGTAGCCCGATATGAAAGGCAAGAATGGCAAAAAAAATTTTTTTGAAATCAAAAATAATTCAGTATTTTGTTCTTTGAATTAAAAACAAACAAATTAGGATTTACTTGCTGGGGTGGCCCATCTTTAGTGCTGGTCTTTGTATGTTGCCTCAACCTAGGTCTTACAGGATTTACCTCTTTAAGGAAATTTGTTTGAAGAGTAGTTGTCACAGACTTAAATTTCACCTTCAACTATAGTAGGTTATTTTGTTTTTGCAAAATTAACTGAAAAAACACTTTTAATCCTGACAACTAATTGATGACTAACAATTGATATAATTAATTAATTTCATCCTGAAATCATCTGTTACAGTTGCGCTACTTGCAAACCCTCAACACCATCTCGGCCGAGAAGAACTCTACAATCATCTTCCCGCTGCCGTTGGATATCATCACCCCATTCCTCACATCAGCACAGAAACGTCAGCAATAATCTGTTATCAGCAATCATTACTTGTTCATCTTTAGGGCACTATGCGTCGTTTCTCAATTCCTATTGTTGACAAGAATCTCTAGTAACAAGGCCAGTAAGATCGTCTTTGCGGTCGGAAAGACTATTTTTAGGTAATCGGTTGGGTTGGGTGCTTGCCTTTTGCAGGAATTTCAACATTAGTTTTCCCTGCTATTTAGATGGCAAGGAACAAGTCTAGTTGCATTGCTTCGGTTTCTGAGGTCTCAGTTCAATCATCCAATGGATTTCTAATTGATAATGCTGCCACCTTTTGGGCCTAGGCTGAAAAAAACATGTAAACGATTCCAGGCTAAAGATAGCGTCTTTGAAACATTGGCCAAAATGTGTTTTTCAAACAAAATGTCTTAGTGGTCATACTTAGTGAAGTGAGCAATTTTTAAACTAAAATAATTTAGAGCTGGTGGGAAGAAGCAGACTTGATGACTGCCAATGTGTACGAAAAGTGGTAGAGACAGCTGATGTTGACAATTTCTTCACTGTTATTTCCAAAGACTACCAACCGAGCCTAAAGGGTTAAGAAATATGTTTTGTTGGACCTAATATATCTAGGGTTTTGATTAAATTAGTTTGAGGTTCTTATTTAAGACTGACGAAAATCTCACAAAAAAAGTATAACTATAGGTGATATTCATACTTAATTAGGGAAGATTCTCATGGACTTAATTTGCCAAAGATGATAAACCATAAGAAATCATCCCCTTCAAAGTGCAGTGTGTTTGAAAAGTCTGGAAATTATTTATGCTGATTTTAATTTTGTTGCCTTTGATTACCCTCTATCATTATGCTGACAGAGACAGATGGAAGTTTACAAGTATTATTTTGTTGAAATATATATTTTCTTACAATGTTTTCGTACTTAAATTTGCCTTTTTATTAATTTAATTTTTAAACTAGCTTCAAGTTCCAATTATCAGCAACTATGCTTCATTTACAATCCAAATCCTTTGTTACTGAGCTTTTAAATGGACGTAATTCATGCTTTTATTTCAAAGTTTTGCTATCGCGTGAATTTTAATTAATAATTTAACCAAACCAAACATTTTGTCTTAAAAGGCTAATTTGACTAAACGAGAAGTAATTATCCGTTAACTGACCCTAAACACACTACATAGCATTTTGAAATATATTTTAATTTTAATAATTTAATGCACAAAGTAAATTGGTGATGTTAATATACATACTGCCCTAATGATAAACTTATCGAGGATCCTCTATTATAAATCTCGATCGATCAATGAAAAATTTTTGAAAGTTATTATACAATGCTATTGTTATGACTATTGTGTGCGCTTTGTGTTGTAATTTTAATACTAATTAAGTTTATCAACATGTTTGTAGTTAGTAGTTTTACATTTTATAGTAGGAAGTAAGAGTTATACATTTTATCTTGAGAAAACTCACGGTTTTACTATTGTGTATAGATTTATTCACAGAGTCTGATTATTTTATTTAACATTTATTATAATTTTAGTGTGTTACATTTCTTATGGTATTTTAATGTAGGTAGTAGTCAAAACAACATTTTTTTCATGTTTGCATCACTAAGTTTTTATTAGTTTAGTATTAATGTAAAATTATATATTTTCTTATACTGTGCTTAAAACTAAGTTACTAATTTTATTTAGTTATGGCTATTCATTCTGTACCAGCTAAACTTATTTAAATTCTCTTGTTCCTAATAAACATAACTCATGACATATCTATCAGCGTCTTTTGTCATTTTTCATACTTACGATAAGGAAACCAACTGTTGTAGGGTAGTTCTTTTATTTAATTTAAATGCTCAATCTGAACTTTATCGCCAAAATACTCAGTAGTTTCTGCAATATTTTCCAATCGCAACACGTTTAAAAGAAAAAAAGGTTCTGTTTTGGGGCTCTTAGTTACCCTTTATGTATAGTTAAGAATTATTTTTCAGCATAAAATCTTATTCAACAATTTTAAATATTTTTAGCTTTTAAGTATTTTTTTTTACAAAGGGAGTTTGATTTATGAATTTTGTGAAAATTGCAGTTTTACTCAAAATGCCAACATAAGTAAAACATTAACCAAGGTTATTGAAATATCACATTAAATCCAAAAAATACTGTACTTCTTGTCAGTAATGTCTTTTATAGTCACAAACCAGCTAATGCCAAATGATTATGTTGGTAGTTTAAGGTAGGCCTTGACTTTATTTTCAATCACACTACCTCTATGACTTTCTTCTTACTCTGAGTAATACGTGTAATACTATAATATACTGGTTGATTTTATAACGTTAAGAATCTTTAGCTTTTGTACAATTTCACGGATTGATGTTGTTATAACATATTATCAATGTATATACACTTCAGGCCTTTCTTGATAGTTGAAACTTTTCAATTGCACGTTTGCAATCGTCTGTTATATGATATTTATTGTAGTGACGGTGAAATGAAGTTACATCCGTAGTGTTTGAGGATGTTGTAGGTAATTTTTCTTTGGTACGTAAGCTTAACTAATGTTTTTTAAAGTTGTGAATTAATTTTTGTTGCAGATAAAATAAATTAGTGTTAAAACCGGGTGCAAATAATGGGTTCACTAGGATATTCTGTAAATAATTAAATGGCTGTGGTCTTTGAATCGATAATCAACCTGTAATTCAATATGCTATTCGTTAACTTTCTTGTCAGATTGAGAAAAGTGCCATTAAATCAAGCGAGTCAAAGAAATAAAATATCCCACCGTAATGGAATAGTTTTAAGTCTTAATTAATTGATTTTGAGCCAAACAGAGATGCTGTTTTCCCATTAACAATCGCTTATATCAATCCAGGATATCAGTTATTACTTTCTGTAACTTATTTATCCAAAAGTTAAAAATATTTGTAAAAACAAATAAAATGTATCAAGGTTTTAGGATTCAAGTTTTTTATAATTTTCTTTAAAACCATGTAAACATTCTTTGAATTAAACCTGTAAAGGACCATAAGTATTGTAAATTTACCTTACTAACGCCTACAAACTGTAATAAATCGTTATATTTTTCCATAACGAAGGGTTTCTTCTCACAAATGCGGGATTAGTTTCCAAACATGTTAAAGTGTATCATTGTTATTGAATGTTGTAATAATAAACGTGTAAGCTCAATATGTTGTTATTTATCAAACCTGTTGTCAAAGTTACAAAATAACAGTTATTGGTGAGTTTTATTGCAATTTGGGGGTAGTAAAATTGCTGAACATGCAGTTTAACAACTGTTGGGATGTGTAAAAAGCTTTGAATATAGAGACAGACCGTTTCACGGTGTGTGGCGCCTCACTGGAGCATGCGCACTGAGAGCTTTCCCCCACTACGCCTCGATATACAGTACAGTCACGTTCAAATGCTGAAGTTGTGAACCAGCATCAGCTGTCAAATTAGTTTGCTTTATGTTTAGGTTTTTGTATTTTTCTGTCTCTCTCGCACTGCCTCCCTTACACGCCAAGCACGGTGAAACGGTCTGTACCTTACTGTGAGACATTCCATTCCTGGGCTAAAAACTAAAGCTGCAGCAAGTTTTAAAATAAAATTTTGAGTTTGATGAGCTACCAACAAGGGTGTATTGCTGTAAAAGATAGAGTTTCTTTCTCAGGTTCTCTAATAAAGAAGTTATTCATTCATTTGTCCTAACTTAAATGTCTTTGTTTCCTAACAGTCTATCTGTAAATACCATCACATGACCATTTTGAAATTCCCATTGAAGCATTCATTCCTCGTGAATAACCTCAAACACGTACTCATTTTTTCACTCATAAAATAAACCCTTTACATTATACATAACCCTATATACAAAACCCTCGATTTTTCGTCTTTCATATGTAACTACACTGGAAAACTGATCATGAGTTACCGCGATCGCGTGATCATCGTGTTGTCTTGATTGCAGGACCAAAATGGTCATTTAAATACATTCATAATAGTGTTTTATTTGTTATGCAATTTTCCTGAATTTCTGGATAATTCTGACAGGGCTCCAGTTAGTTCTGATTAGCAGTACCGTGACCTCCTCTTAGGCTGCGGCAAGACAAAACACAACAGACTCGGCCTAATGAAACAGCTGTTGTATTAATTCATAATGGAGCGTCTGCAAAAGGTTTATTTAGTAAAGGTTTACTTGTTCTTGTTATATTTTTTTTCCTATTTATTACTGTTATTACCATGACATGGCGTTGGGTGAAAAGTTGCCACAACAGCCTTATGTTTGAAGAGGCTATGGCAGTAGGTGTAGACACAGCCCATCTATATGGGCCACCATAGCCAATCTTTAATTTCAATGTACGCCACTGGAAAGCTCTAGCGGTGACGAGATTACTTGTCATGTGCAGTGAACGTGTTAAAAAATAACATAGTTGAATGACCCACTCACAGACTGCGCTGTAAACCAAGGCTATCTAGATTGGATAAGTAAAGGTACTAATGAAAACTATTGGGTTTTATTGCTTTATTTGAAAATTTGCTTGAAATGAGTGAAAATGTGCCAAAGCGAAACAAATCCGTGCTTAAAATAAAACATTTAAAATTTTCATACAATTTTTTTTTTATAAATGTTGTATGTAAACTGATTTGTTCCATAGTGCACAAGCCAATGAATAATATGATAACAGTAACTTGACAAATTTAGTAATTTATAGTTTTAACTATTATTTTTAACAAAGTAAAACTTACTTTTCGATATTTCATAAATGTAATAAATTCTTGTCTTAAATCAATACAAAGTTAGATACAAATAATTATTGAGCTGACTTGCAAGAATAAGAACAAAAAGTAAAAGGTTTGAGTAACTAAAATATTCTTTGTTCATTTATCATTAGGGTAAAATGGCATATTAAAAAAAGTATAAATCACGTAGAAAACTTAATTAAATTGTAATAACAAATAGCAATCCAAACAAGAATACTAAAAATAAATTACTTATTTAACAACTTTTTTGGAAATGTTTAAAGCTTGACTTAGAACTAACTGCAAAATGTAGAAGATGCATTGACTAAAAGGTGGAAATTAAATGTAATCTGTCTTTTTCTACCTGCTATTTGGTTATTATGGGTTTGAAAATTTAAAACTAAGTCCAAGAAATACTTAAACGAATACATCAACTAAGAAATAATAGGTAGTGAACAGAAAACTTAATCTCAAAGTAAAAAAATAAGTGATATTATACAAACGACGACGTGAAACGCTTACAGGAACTCCATTTCCCTCTCAATTCCGACAAATTTCAGCTGCTCTGTTGGACCATATCTGAAAGTAAAATATAAAATATATATTTTGTTGCACAACATAATCCTTTAGATAAAACTGTAACGAAACAGGTTTTTTGGATATATAAAGGGTGTTTTTTTCACACTATAAAGGAGGTCAGAAGGTCCTGCAAGATAGAAAGCATGCTGTACAGGGTGGCCGAAAAGTCTGTTTACACAATATTGAAGATCACATTACACTGTTATAAACACAACTGATCAGCAAATATTCGTACGTAGGCAACAGTGGGGGGAGGGGAGAGAGAATGAAGTCTCATTCTCCCTTACCAACCACCACCACAGCCCTAGGACGAGGCGATACCCAGTAGAGAGCAAGGGCGGCCTTTGCACAAGTCACCTCAGAAATGCTGAAACGAATGAGCTAACGAACTAAGAGTTGAGTCAAGCTTTGCCGAGACGATGGAGGTATTCATACCAATTGTTCCGTCAAGTGTCTTTGATTTATCTATTAATTTTTAAATACCTTTGTTTTTAACAGTCCATGTAATTCTATCATATGACCATATCCATTGTTGCATTCATTCATCGCAAATCACCTCTCATAACAACACGTACTCATTTTTCTCGTAATTCAACCTCTTTATATCAACACCCTCAACTTTTTCCTCTGTAGTATAACTACACCGCACACCAATGTTTTAGACTAAAAATTATGTACACTTGGTAAAGTCTACAAAAAGTTTCTGATTAAAAGAGATTTTGATGGTTTTAATCAACACCAATTGAATTTACCTTTAGTGTAAAGAGACTTTTCTGTCACCCTGTGCCAACAGCTGGTCCATCTTTACCAGAAACAATTGGTATGAAGCAGAAAGCACTGGGACACTTGAGGAATATCCAAAAACCCTAACTTACCGTCCCAGACAATAATTTCCATAATCTTAATCTTCTAAACACCACGAGTTGGTTGTTAACCAACATCCATCGCAAACAACTCACCTGTAGTCAAAGAACAACTCCTCTCCAGGTTGGATCGCTCTTTTGGCAAAGATTCCAATTCGGTGATCTCCGTTCACCATCATCACCTAAAACATTCATACAAAATTGGATGATTGAACGAAAAACATCTTCCCTAATATTTTTCTGTAGTAGGAATGTGTAGTAAGACTTTTACTGTATACTGACTGGGACGGTGGCGTTGTCCTGTAATCCAGCAACTAGGTCACTAATTAATTGTGGATGGTTATAGGCATGCACTGTGGATGCTATACTCCTTGGTGTGGATTAACGTTTGCACTGGTAATTACTAATACTATCCGCAGTACTATCCTGATAATTAGACCAACTCATAATTACAAGGCAAAAATAATGTGGCTCAGATTCCACTATAAACTGTAGGTACCTTAGTTGCCATTAGCTGAATGGGCTATTAATTAACAGCTGATTTTCTAAGGAATGAGTCGGCCTTAGTCCCTAACAAGACTACAAGATAGCGCCACTCATCCTACACTCATCTCCGTTCATACTTGGCTTAAAATACCTACATTATATGGTCTTCATTTCAAAGTTAAGTAAAGTATTTACTGCACTAAGTGTAGGTTTTAAGGTACATTACCTTAGCGTAGCAATTAGGGCTAATGGAATGGTTGGCGAATCTAATCTTGTTGCCTTTCCTGGTGGCGTCAACAACAAAGTCTGAAATACAGAAGATATGATTAGTAAGACGTATTTATTTGTAGAAGAAAAATATACAATGAAACTCAAACACTGATATCAGATGTTTTCTTCATAGAATTCAGTTTGCTAAAGAAAACACGTACAACTGATGTCCTCGACTACAGCTGATTCTTGTTTTAACCTAGAAATAAAATAAAATACCATGCAACACATTTATTGAGGAGAGTAGTTTTTTCTGTAGCATGACGAAAAAGGCAACTTAAGCTCAGTGAAAGTTGACTTACCGTTGTTGAGATTGAAGAGGAAGCTGCACATGTACTTGTCGTAAACCTTGCCTCTCCTGTCTGCCTCGTCCTGAGTGATAATTTCACCGCAATATTCACTGATGAACTCGTTCTTCTGAGCCGAGTCTTTCAAGAATATTCCCCAACCAGCGACATCTGACGGAGCCATTAGAAGGTGTTTGTCTGGAAATTTGAAACATTGGATGGTGAGAAGAGTAGTAGAGGCATAGTAGTTTTCCTATGACTGAGTGACTATGCAGATAACTTTTTTGCCAAAGATAACTTTCCACCAGGGGTTTTAAGGTTTTTTTTATGGAGGTTTAAGAGCAGGTTTACTTTACTGAAAATTAACAAATAACACACAATCACAGACTTTTTGGAGCTAATAACTCCTTTAGTAGTATAGTCAGGAAGAACTTTATTTATATTGGTGAATTTTCATCTTATTTTTGTCAGTAGGGTAAGCCTGTATTTAAGCCTTTCCATACAAAATCCTATAAAACATTGCACTGTATCTCATCCTAATGAAGAAAACACTCTGAAACTCCCAAGTGGTCTATTTCATATCACCATTCTACTCTCAGAAGATTACAGGACAAATTATCTGTGTAATGTCAGCATTTTCATTGTAGTGTTGATCAAAAATATACCATTAAATACTCACGGAGGCCACGTTGTACGCTGACGTTCTTGCAGGTGATCTTCTGAATGTCAAAATGATCAGCTCCGCAAGTCTGACATAAGTCTGGGTCACACTCTCGTACAGCCAAGTAGCAAGGACACTGCTTGGTGTTACACTGAGCCTTGCACCTGCAGCCAGGGAACCTGTTCTGACCTGTAGACAAACATCACAATGATTACCAAGTAATTTACTGGGTTTGTCATCAGCAAGACAATAATATGTCAGTAATACACATGAGTAATAGAAAAAGTCTGTTTACAATACAGCTGAAAACTAAATTTGACTCATGGATCTTAGAATGCCAACCAACTGGCTATGATATTTACAGTTCGCACAAACTAAGATCTCTACTACTTGTTGGTTCTGTACAACTCACAGTCGGAGCTGCATTGGCAGAACTTCTCACAGAAGTTCCCTGTTGCGACGCAAGGACAGTTGTTGTCGCACGGCTGACTGCTCGGATGATCGCAAGGCGTGAAGTTATGCACGTGATTGCTGCTGTTTTCCTTCTTCAGCTGGATCTTGCGACAGTGCATCGACCACAGACGGTGCTTCTTTTTCTTCTTCCTCGGCGGTGTGTAGTCTTTCATCGACTCCATGATCTCCAGATCAGCCGCCTCTTTTTGCGCAAACTGATACACCTGGAACACGTGTGATATTTATTGGTGGTAAAAGCTTGTTTTATAACATATTGTGGAAATGAAAAACATTGTATGCTCAGCATAATTTACCAAACAGTGGAATAATTTAAATTAGGGTGAATGTGGGTGAAAAATTTTAAGTATTCACACAGCTGTCTGTTTTGCTACATAGATAAACTAGACGGCACAAAGGCCAAAACCTTAGCCTACTGCTTGTAAACGTTGTTCAGCATTTGTAATGAACCAAATGCATCCCATCTAGACATTATGTAACAGCAAATATACAAATAATTTTTTAATTAATTATGAAAGAGGTAAAGAAAATGTTTTGGAAACTAAAAAATATCTTAGTACAGTCCCTACTATCCGATCTTCAGTTACATCAATTACATCCTCATATCTCAGACCCTTTCTGCTTATGATTGAGTATCAAGTTAACTTTTTATTTTTATTTTATTTATTTATTTTTTGTGCACAATTACCGTTGAACTCCTTGTATAACTCTCATACCTGAAGTCTTAGTTATAATGCCAAAAGACCTCTGGCCTGAGAGGATAAGCTTTGCTTGATTTTATTTTTTTAAAGTCACAATTTTACTCTTTCCGTTATCATTTATTTGGGACAATGGTTTCGATGTGGAAAAAGATAGCGGTACCTGGTAACAATGAAACAGTTCATTTTTTATTTTATTATTTCCTCAGCCATCTGACCAATTCACAGTTTAGGTAGAAAATAAATAGGTTACTGTATCCAACACAGTTTCCAAACCCTTCATTTTTTAAATGGAGAATTTCTGTATATCTAATTTACTGACCTGTTGACAGGTTTTGGTAAGCATGATCTGAGCGATGGCGCAGTAGTTGTTGAGAAACACGTTATGCAGAGCTCGAAACAGACTCTGGTCGCTGCCTGTCCACTCCTTCTGATCACTAGAGGGCATGAGAGGCAGCAGGGAGAACCCAGCCTGGTGAGACACTACCTCCCCTCCACTGGCCTCTCCCTCCCCTTCACCTTCACCGTCTTCCTTGTCTCCTTCTATAACAATGTGTTAGTAGATTGTTCCATTAGGGTAACACCTGAGATCGCAACAATTTTTCTCAAATTTATTCACACTTGAATAAATTAGTGGTCTGCAGATCTCCAATACTTTTGAAGAATCAATTTTGCCAACAATAGTTTTTGGGCCCATATTTTTATCCCCCAAATGTAGAAAACGTAAAAAAATGTGTGATTGAATACTGATGACTTTACCTCCACCGTGGGTGATGTTCAAGATTTTCCAACAATTTTGGTTAACATTGATAATGTGACAGCGGGAGATAATTACAATTTGCTGTTAAGGTGGAAGATGATCACAATTTCAACATAAACTGAGGAAGACATTCATGACTTTGGCGTAACGTAACCGTGAAATATGTTGAGGATTTTGCCATCATCATGGAAGATGATTCTATGGAATATGGGAGAAAATGTAACGATTTTATGTCGATAGTATAAAAAATGTATTAGATGTGGCTGATAAAATCAAGCTGGACAACGTTGCTCTACTATTACAAAATTTCATAATTTATATCAGTCAAAGTAAAATAAAATTGAGTCTAAAATAGCATATAACTTAATTTTGTATGTTTGTTTAACTTTAATAATTAAAATTCAAAAAGCAATACTCTTTCATAGTTCAGGAATGTTAAGATATTTAAATGGCCATTTGGAACTCAAAACAGTATAGAACTATCCAACGATAAAGTAAAACCCATAAAAGGTTGTAAGGTAAACGCACCAGTAGCTGACAGTATAAGAAACTATACGCACTTAATAATCCGTGGTTTTGAATAAACAGGAACTAAAGAGATATTACGGATTTTATGTGATTCTAAATTTATTGTAGTTTTCAAATTTTTCATACAAAAAGGGTTTTTTAAATATATTTTATAACATTTTTAAACTTAATTCAACCTTTGTACGTGTTCCAGTGGCTGACAGTGAAAAAAGTGCTTGTACCAGTAGCTGACTGTCAGTTGTCCCAGTAGCTGACACTGGAACTTAAATGTACTAGCTGCTAAACCTAAAGGTTTTATAATTTATAAGACGAATAAAATCTAACTTAATAATTAATTTATAAAATCACATAAAACCTTATTAAGAAAATTTATTTTACATATTTTAAAATAAATAATATTTACATTAAAATATATATACAGGGTGACAAAAAAGTCTGGAAACGGCTTGATATCTTTTTAACTAAATTCGTTTGAAAATTCAAACTTTTCACATCAACTTATATGTATGATAACTACTTTTTGCAAGCATTACCATTTTTTGACCTCTACCAGGGGACGACCCATGAGGAGTAGGTACATAATCTTTAATGTAAGCATAGGTTGATATGCACATCATTTTAAAGGTCTGGTCCAGTGGAGTTCATTGCCGGAAACCGCGTCAAAAAATATTATGTACCTACTCCTCGTGGGCCGTCCACTGGTAGAGGTAAAAAAATGATAATGCTTGGAAAAAGTAGTTTTCATACATGTAAGTTGATGTGAAAGGTTTGAATTTTCTAACGGATTTAATTAAAAAGATATTAAACCGTTTCCAGACTTGTTTGTCACCCTGTATATATTTATATATATTTTAAAAAAATATACATTTTTTAAGATAATTTGGCTTATAAATTAAAAAATTAAAATCATTTTATAAAAATGTGAGATCACATAAATTATAAATAGCATGCAAATTTCGATGGGTGAAACCAATTTAATATTGTGCAAGTAGCAAATATCCCCTGTCAGCTAGTGGAACTTGTATGGCTTTTGTGTACCAAAGCCTGACATTGATATAATTTTAAATCCAAAACCCCTAACGCCCCAATTTTTTCATGAAATTGTCAACAAAGGTATAATTGATAAAAATAATGAGCCTAATCATTAATACTATTTAAGAAATTTAGCGAAATGACAAAAAACCAAACTAACTTTCTTAACGATTTCATTAAGGGAATCGACTAAATGTGATGTGTACGGACAGGGTCGCTTTCAAACCACCACCATTCCGCAAGTATAGGCTAAATTTAACTGATTTTTTTGTAAACAAATCAAGAATAAACATATGTTCTGCTAACAATGCAATCATGTGTAAATATTTTTAAGAGACCACATTATAATGTTAAGAAACTCAAACTGTCAGCTTCTGGAGCACTGTCAGCTACTGGTGCATTTACCTTAATCCATAGTTTTAAACAAGAATTGCACAGTAAAAGAATCAATTCTAGCAGTAAAGAATAGTTTTAGAAGCACGAAGAATCATCATTTTTAAGTCATTTTTTGATCATCACTATTTCACATGTTATCTTACGTTAATGGTGTCGAGGGAGAAAGCCTACCTTTACTGTCGTTACTGTCTTCTGAGCTAGCTTCATTGCCAGAGTCTACAGATGTTTGTTTTCTCACTTTCCTCACTCCAGAGTTCTCTCCTTTCACTCCGTTCTGCTCTTCCATGTCTTCTTTTGCCTGTTCTGTGGCCGCAGCGGTTTTCGCAGCAGCTGCCAACTTTTCCTGCATCCCTTCCTACAAACAATTTAAACTTAAAACATAATGTTGCCTAAGCCTACTATACAATTTGGAATTGATACAGCAAATTACAACTTCCTGGCTGCCATCAGATGTGAAGACTCTCTATTTCTTAGTTGCAAATGCTGTCAGCGACAATGAAGTAGAGATTCAAGAGATATTCAAGAGATTTACTATACCATCAGTAACAAAATATACAACAGATACAACAAATAGGTGGTGTCAAGTTTGGAATTTCTTGTGACGCCTGCTATCTTTACTAAAATCCTTACTGAACACCCCCACTGCAGCAAACCTGCAAACTAAGAATTCCATTTATCTGGTTGGGTTATCACTCAAATATACCCTTATATAAGCTAGATGTTAAAAATATTTTTTTATAGATAAAACTCACCAAAAGCATATAACAGTCAGAGCCGCAAGATTCGGAGAAGTTTTTTAAATCTGGCCCCTTGCGTTTGGTCAAGTTGGGTCCAGGATGATGTACTTTTAGTCCTAGACAAGTACAAAATAATTAGTTTAGTTTTCTCAGGTTAGGTTAGTTTACTGTTTTGTTGGTTGATAATTGAGCGCTTCAATCTGTTTGTAAATAAGTTAACACATTTCTGATTAAAATAAGACCCCATCCTTGAGAAAACCAATTCATTAAGAAGGAAGGGCAAACTCCTTCATACTTGATACTCATGGCCAACAAGTTTACTTACATGATGTAAAATAACAATTGTGCCAAGCCAATAAACCCTAACTACTAACATAGAAAATTTAAACACCAGATTAGCAATAACCTGGGAGTTACAGAAGGTTGTAAAAAAATAAGCAAAAAGCGTACTTAAATAAATTACCCTCCCCCAGTAAAAACCTAATTACAAACGTAAACCTCGACAAGAATAACTCACTATGCAGAAAACAGTCGTATTTGAAGCACCGACGACAAAACAGTGTGTGGTACGAGTGCATGGTTTGAGCTCGAGGGACTGACTCCGCCTTGGGTCCGTCGATGTTCGGTGTACACTCGGCTGGTAGTGCGTTTGGCGCAGTCAACTCACGATACCTGGGACGGACAGAAAATCATTAATACATTATTGCTATTAACAATTCTCAAGTAAAAATAGTGAGATCAATTTAAAATTCCTTCTCCAGCTGAAATGAGTTGGCGATAACCGTTTGGTAGACTTTTTGAGAGAGGAGCTGACTTATCCATTAACAACACAATTAGGAATCAACAAATTTTATGGGTTATCGACTATGGTTGGATAGTGTAAGAAGGCTTCAGAAAGATACTATGATAAAAAAGTTAAGGCAAATTAATGGAAAGGAAACATACCGTAATAGTAGTTTTCATCACTACCTCTCAAAGCGAAAGTGGTCCTTTTTGGTATGCAATAACATTTGTAATTTTGGTTTTTGGTAACATTTTGATTAAGTAGGCCTACCAAAAAGACACTCTGGTGATGAACAACTATTTTCATCATACAGTGAAAATAGCCTTCTAATTGTCAAAATTAAACCAAATCATAATACGAGGTTATACAAAGTCGTCATCAATGTTTACGTTTTTGTTGTTTACAAACATAACTTAAAATATCGTTTGATTAGCAGCATTTCCATAATATACTAATAATATTTTGAGGTTAGCAAAGAGAAAAATTTTACCATATACTTTTTCTGTTCCCTATTTGCAGCTAACCAAAAACGAAGATTTTGTGGACGATTTAGGGAACTAAAAATTTCTGTTTTGCGGACAGTATGATGAAAACTAATTTAGTAAAAGATTTATTATTGGAGAAATACAGGTGCTTTGTTCGGTGTTAAAGGTCAAACATTTTGTATATTACCACAATATAGAATTTGGTTTTAGATTAAAACTGTTTATAATTTTTTTTTTGTCAGTCTTTAAAAAAATACATGTTCAGTAAAAGGCCAGCTGACCATATGAGCATAATCCCCACATGTCAACAACAATACAATAATAAAAATTTGAAAATGTAAACATTCCAAGGTGAACATTCTGGTTCAAAAAGTGCAATTTTTCTCTCTTGTAATATCGTTTCTTTGTGTAACATAATTCATTTCTCTCTCCTTTTATTTTGACTTATTTCATTTACCTTTTCCTTTTGTGTTCATTAAATAAACCCTTTTTAATTTGACTCTAAATTCTGTGTACCTACTGTGAGAACATTTGGACATTAATGAAACATATTATCTTCTCGACTAGAGCCAACATTCGACCAGATCTTCTTTCAAGACCTTAACGTCATGAAGTGGTAACATAACTATAGTTCAGAATTAAAAATTATACCAAAAGTCCAATATTTTCTGTTGTCAAAATTAAATTAATAACCCATATACAGTCCACTTTATTATTTCTACAATAACCTTTTGATTACGCTACATCTTTGGTCCGTTCGCGTCGGATTACAATACATGACTTACTTTTCTCTGCATTCTTCAGGACTACCCTTGTCAGGAAACATAGCCGATACAGCCTGAAAAACTATCTGGGCAGGGAATTGTTTTTCATTCATTTTGTTTGTACTTTTCTGAGGAGTTGTAGATGGAGTAGTGTTCGTCTTTTCTTTGGCCGCTGCCTCAGCTTCTTCCTAGGCAAAAAATCAGAACTCAAGTTTAGAAACAAAAAAAAGTAACGTAGTAGGTCTACTCTGGAGAATTGGAATATATAGGTATAGGCCTACTTGTGTAGAAATACATGAAAGTGATGGGGTTTTAATTGTCAAAAGAAATGTTTTGAGATTTCAGACACTGATGCTGGTTGTGTGGAGTGTGTTGTTGTGGTTGTGTGTTGTTGTGGTTGTGTGTTGTTGTGGTTGTGTGTTGTTGTGGAATGTGTTGTTGTGGTTTTGTGTTGTTGTGGTTGTGTGTTGTAGTGGTTGTGTGTTGTTGTGTTTGTGTGTTGAGTATGTTCTCACTTAAAATCTATTAACTTTATTTCTTTAGGTGATCTTAATCACTAGTTATATTAGATCAGGTACGGAAAGTTTAACTAAAGCCTGAAGAAAATTCACAAAACTAATTGATACACTTTAAAAACCAAAGAGAGATAGGCCTAATTGATTAATTTTTCCCGAATCAAAAAGTTCTAGTCAAAATATTAAGAACCGGTAACTTAGACTTAGAAGTATTGTATATTCACTCACCTGGTCTTTGATATGATATGGAACCAAAGCGTCTACCAATTCCACAAACAGTGTGTCGTCGATGTTACCCTCTTGTTCTCCGTGCACCTTACCATCGTAATTCTTGATCAACTCGTCAATAAAGGTCTTATCTTGGTCAAGGATCTCGTCCCCCATGTACGGGATGTTGTGGAGAACTGTTTCGTCCTCAACCTGTAGGAAACAAATAAGTTGGTCAAGTCCGAATTCTTAACTATAAGTCAATAATAATAAGTCAATAAGTCATTTATTGGGCCAAATTGACAATACTTGCATTAGCCAAGTCAGAAACTAATTGTCTATTTTAGCTATAAAATAATTGCTATGTACCATTTCTTTAAACCACCACTTACTAGTCTTCCAGTTTTGTAGAAAGTTTTTGTACTATAAAATTAAAGTACAAGTGAACAGCAGCGTCCTTGGTTGATGAATCAATAAATATTATATTGAGGCTGGGACACATTGACGTATTTTATCCTCGATGAAAAATAAGCAAAGAATGAAGTGCCTTTTGTAGTTACGTTACTGACTAAACCCAGTTGTTTCATTAGCTAGGACCACTTATGCTTACAGTGCTAGTAAGCCTGGTAATCAAAAGGTCGCCGGTTTGATCCTGAGTAGTCAGTTAGCTTTTTGATGGTTCAAAACTGGACCCAGCTGTCCCTGATCATTGAGCTTTGAATAAATTATCCTTGCTAATGAAACAGCTGATCCTAGACAATAACAAAGCACACTCATCCTTCACTCATATTTGGGTTAAAATACACACTAGGACACTTAAGCCTCGTTCACACAGGGCGAGTTTACACTTGTTGAGTTTTTGCTTGTAAACTCGCCCCGTGTGAACGGGGCTTTAGGTGTCCCATCTCAGTTGATAAATTAATTGGTAATTTATAAACCCAATGATCAAACACAGCTGTGTCCAATTGCAAACAATCAAAAAGGTGCTTGGTTTTCACAGTCAAACTGGCCATCTCGTTGTTGCTAGATGAGCCCTATAACCACTCAACTTAACCTGACTCTGTTTTTTTAATTCTAGAACTAGTTGCTTTGCTACACCACTGCAACATCTAGATGACAGCCTAGTGAAGGCCTATCTATAGTCAAAGTTTCTACTCACCATAAAGTTTTGCTGAATGGGGGCCCAGGTATACATAGTGGGTATCTGTGCAACAGCATTCATCACGACAATAGGTACAGATTTGGCATTGCTGTCAGAGCAAGACACATCCGCTTTCTTCATGCAGGATGAACGAGGCGGCAATTCCGCCTGGCACATCCAGACTGCTTTACTGTTCAGCCATCGCTCTTGCTCAGCCACCAGGAGATCTGCAGTACGGTCAGGTTAGGTTGACTTGCCAGATAATTACATAGTATATACCAGTATTCAAGACTGCTGTTTGAAAAATATGTTAGTAGGCCCTAATTAATTTTGTGCCTGATAAATTTACTCAAAATATTAAAGGTAGCCAAATTTTAATTACCTTCCATTTTAGCAGCATTGTTATTCCAGGCGACCTTCACTTCGTCTGCCCATTTGTGCCGTTTTATTTGTCTAATCCGTTTATATTCAAGCCTCACCCTTTTCTTCCACTCCATCGAAACTTGAGTTTTGCCAGATGCCATTTTTGAGTCCTAATGTAACTTAGGACTGCTCACCTAAAACAAAAATATCAGCTGGACCATTTCAAATAGCACAGTATAACCTGTAAACCTTATAAATATTGAAACAATTAGAACTGTCATACACTAATCCAGTTTACCCTATGTAATGAGTTAGGCTATGTAAGTTTCAATCAATCAATATTAGCAGAGCCCAGTTAAGAAACTGCTATGGTTAAGGTTAACCGTTCTATTTAAATAGGTAATCTTAAAACCAGTGGCGTAACTACGGGGGGGGGGGGGGATGAGGGGGATAGAACCCCCCCCCCCCAAAGGCAAAAAAAAACTGAATAACCTACTTCAGTACACCATAATGAACATTGTTCACAGAGGGTGGATCAGGAATTGTTGCGGGTAGTTTCATAATCTTTGCGAATAAAATCGGGGATTTCCAGTGGCAATTACGTGGAAAGTCATCATATTAGGTTGGCAACACTGCCGCTCATGCGCTGTAAGTTCCCGCTCAGTCTGTTCTGGGTCTGGCGCGTTTCCCTGTGCTTGACGCCTGTGTTCTGTGTGTTACTTGTTATTCAGTGATGATATGTTCACAATGTCTAAGAGGAAAGCATCAGCATAGCAAAGCTTAATAACAGATTTGTTTAGAAAGCGTATGGTAACTAAAACTGAGCATACTGAAAGTGATGACAGTTCCTGATAACAAACAATAACATTCTGCCTTGCTTAATTTGCGACGACGCGTGGTGTAGGGGCGGGTGGGGAAGGGGTATCTGGTGCCAGGGGAGGGTCACTCTTTCCACCCGATAATTTTACCTACAGTCAGGGGCATAGCACGAAAAAAATATTTGGGAGGAGACACTGAATTTCCCAACTAAGTTATTTTACTCAAACTATATGTAAGTTTAGGCTACCTACACGAATTTCACAACTATATTAATATCAAGTTTTAACAATAGCCTAAGGATATTATTTTACATTTAAATCCTCTTTACAGCTGACATAGGCCTACACAAATAACAAGAAATTAAGGGCTTTCTCACAATATTGGTTTTGACTGTCAATCTTCATTGTTGATTAGGTATGTTTTAAGTGTCTCAACAAATGTCTCAACCCACTGTAGGTCTACTGATCAATAATACATTAAGTTTTCAGCCTTTCAAAATCTATTTGAAATAAAAATTCAGTAGATACAGCTCCTCACGCGCAGCACAGAAGGCTACAGTACAACAACAACTTAATGATAATTTGTGCGTTTGTTGTGTTAAGTGGTTTTGATTTACTTAAGTTACTATTTCCTGATACTGACCGGCCAGAGACAGCCTCAACTGGGTAGATTTTTGGAGTTCTTTTGAACATTCTTTACACCTCTGGAATGCCTGAAAAAGCGAGTTTTGAGTTTGAATTTTTCAAAATTTTCCCCTCGGACCCCCCTTTTGACCGGGGCTCCTCCACCCCCCCCCAAAGCCATGTTCTAGTTACGCCACTGCTTAAAACAAGTTAATGTTTACATTCAATTGGAGCCAGTTTTTGGGTTAGGGAATTGACACAATAACAAAAAAGAAAATACTTGTCTTTGGCACTTCATTTTGAGTGCCAAGAGTGTTGTTCTCTAACCTTGGAAAGGATGTTTTGTTAGTAAGGGTTACAAGGCCTAAATTATATTTAATTAGGCCTAATAAATGTTTTCAAGCTTGAAAGGGAAGATAGTAAAATCTTGGTCCTTCCTAGGTCAGTTAAGTAGATACCTAACTTACTTACCTAGAAGGATATTTAAAATCTTTAAATTTACTTTATACAGGGATGGGTTTAGTTTATAACAATTACAACCGAACACGATCACGATAGTACAGGCCTAAGAACTAAGTTACTGTAGTAAAAAGTAATGGTAAAGAAAGAGTTCAGGTCCTTTTCAATTTTATTCTAGACCTAGGCCTTTTTTATTGTAGGCCTATAGTATTAAAAATTTGATGCTATCTATCCTTAACACGGTCAAAGATAAAGAAGACAAGTAGGCTATCCAAGTAGGCTTCTGTAAAATACTAGCAAAACAATGAAGTAGGCCTAAGTTATGACTTTATGCCTATTTGTTATGAATGACACTAGGCCTAGTAACTTAGTGCAAAATATTACCTATCACCGTTTGCTATCGCTTAGACAAATGTTGCACACACTAAGTATTTTGATTTGCGTACATGGCGTTTGACAAATTTAAAGTAAAGTACAGTAAATCAATCAAAGCATAAACTAACCTCAAAACTGGAAAGATGGTTGGCGGCCTTGTTCGTTGTTCAATGTCTCGTTCTCACTGTTCTCAGTGTCCTCTCCTCTTCTCTTCTCGGATCTCGGTTCTCGTTCTCACTTCTCCTCTCCTCTCCAACACTCCAACTGACCAACTCCAAATCCAACAAGTTTCCTCCAAAAACAAAAACCATCAAACCAACTCAGCAGTCAGCACAGCAGACAGAGACAGACCAGACCACAACTAAAACTCCAGTCCAAGTCAGATTTCAAATATTTACTTCAACGCTTCTACTTCACTGCACTCTACTCTCACTCTCACACTGAGACTGACTGACTGAGTGAGTGTGAGGTGAGTGACACTCCACACTCCACCACGCACCACACCACCGGACCGGCACCACTACCAGGCACCGGCACCACACACAAGCAAGGAAGCAAGCCAGCCACCAGAACAGAACGTGCCAAGTTACTGCTGCTACTGTACAGGTCGGCCAAAGTTTCTGTGCGCGCGACCAGATCTGGTTGAGTCTAGGCGAGGGGGTTGGCGGGGGTACTTTTGTGAAAACATTTGTGTCTTGCTACCCACTCACCACTACCACCACTACCCCCAGCACTGCCAATAGCCGGTGCCCGAATGTTTTAGTTCGGCTAGTAGCAACCCGTCCACGCGCACAGAAGTTTTCGCCGAGCTTTTTTTTTTTTTTTGTACACTACACTCACTAAAGCACGGGTCACACTAGGCTGGCATCAGCAGCGAATTGAAAGAAGCCGCGACTGTCAGCTTAATGTGACCACATAATTCGCAGCTGACACAGTCTGGATTCGGTGAGCCGGTGATACTGGTGCCAGCTACTGATCACCATCGGCTGGCGTACAGCCTAGTGTGACCCGTGCTTGACTGGTGAAGATTTAAAGTAAATGCTGGTGACTACTGACTGACTATAGCGCCTCATTTAAAAATTTTTTTCCTATGGCTTAAGGTCTCCAGATCGAATCCCACTGGGTACACTATTAGCGAATACTTCTTAACTGCACATCTTTTGTTAGAATTTGAGGCATTTATAATTTTATTTATGAACGGAACTATTTTTTTATTAGTAAACCTTCATTCGATTGTTATCATATATCTTTTTTATATTATCAGCAGGTTTGGTTTGGCTATGACAGTTTAATTTTATATTTTAAAAATTGATTTTATAACTAAAAAGTTAGTTTTATAACTAAAAAAGCATACAAACATAAATTTAAAGTTTTTCTTTAATTGACGTGAGGCCCCTGCTCTCCCACTTCTTCGCAGAAAAGGTTCTCCACGGTTCCGGACCAGGAAAATGAGACGTTAGCTAGTCACTATTACACCGACGGTCACGGTCACACACACCCAACTTAACTCATAATGTTATTTATTATAAGCCAATCATCGGTCTCCACCTATAACAGAGACACGATTCTCGGCTTTTCAAACAATGAATATTTGAGGACAAACACTTGGTTTCACAATACAAAGCCTTAGTTAAGCGCGGTAGTTATGTGCCAACTACTCATAAATCCCTGCGAGTGTCGGTGGATATAGAGGACTCATAGCAAAATACACGACTTTAAAATCGCAAAAATGTTGTTTAATTTATAAAAAGTAGCTTTTCGTAACCAAAGCTAAGTTTATTTATTGTAGCTTAATAATTTTATATTATATATGGATAAATAAACTATCATCGATGTAGAAACCTGTTTTAGAGACATCTAGCGGTAAATAGGCGAACTGCAGCGCACACTGGTTTCGGCATCTAGTGGTGAAGAGGCGAACTGTTGCGAACCTTTATGTACGTGACATTCCTTGTTATTTTAATTCACAGTTTTTAAATTTCTTAGAAAACATATACATTTAAACCACCGAAACATGCTATTTTACATAATGTTTGTTTAGTGTATATTGTTACATTTTACAAGTCGATAAAATATTGTGTAGGTATTTTAGTTGACGTTATGAAAGAGTTTGATTTGAGAATGATCTTGTTATTTTGTTAGATACTTTTTGAAACTGAGATAAGAGGCGTACAGCATTATTTTTCAAATCAGATTCTATGAACATTTTAAAATTTGATACTCAGTATGATGTAGGTAAATGTTTTTGATGATGGTTTACCAATAAATAGAAAGAAATTAGTCCAAAAAGTAGATTTTGTAATTTTTTTATAAAACATAGAATATACGTTTTACTTTCCAGATCAAATACTTTACCGCCAAAAATATGTAAAGCTAATACTGTAATTATATAGCTCGAACAGGTTATGTTACAGTGCTTGCCTAACAATCTAAAAATACCGGTTTGATCCTATGAAAAGTCAGTAGCTTTTTGGTGGTTTGAAATCGGACCCAGCTGTTCCTGATCATTGACAAAACAGCTGATCTTGGCTAGTAACAAAGCTACGCATGGCATCTCAATATTATGGATATCTTACTAATATTATAAATGTGAAAGCGTGAAAGTTTGTGTGTTTGTATGTTTGAAGTTCAATCACGCATTAATTACTGGACAGATTGGGCTGAAATTTGGCATGATGATAGCTCACATTCCCGATTAACATATAGGCATATTTCTATCTCAAAAATCCTTTCGGGCTCCACCCCAGTGGCTCTGTAGTTCCCCATAACCTTATGAGTATTCATATTTAAAGGGAAATGAATTTAGTCAGTTGTTTAAACTAAAAAGTTGGTTCCATGATATGCAAAAGCATTAAAAAGTTATAAGATTTACCAACAGCTAATTTGGACTAAGCAGCAACTAAAAATGTGTTTGGCCTCTAAGGACATCAAAATGAAGAAAAAGTAAATCGGCCCCTTGTTACCGTGCCACCTTCGGTAACTACTCTCTTATAGGGAAATTCACTATTCATTAATAATTGTTGATTGTATTGTTCACCCTGCACTAGTGAAGAGAACATAGATAAATTCTCCATTTACTAATCTAAATCTCGGAGAGTAAATTTCGATAATAGATGAATATTATAAGCCAATCACCGGGTAACAGACCCAGTTCTCGGCTTTTCAAAGAGTTTTGTATAATGTTATTTGTTGTAATATAAGTAATAATCAGTATGCTACGGTCAAGTGGTGTAGTCAGATCACTACTCAAAAATCACTGCGAGTACCAACAAATACAGAGGGATTATAGTAAACTATCCAGACTTTAAATCGCAAAACTGTACTTTAGTTTAAAACTAGTAATATTTTTTGTAACTAAAGCTGAGTGTTTTTATTGTAGTTTATAAATATTATATCATTAATGAATAAATAAACTATAATTCTAGTAGAACTCTGTTTTAGCGACATCTAGCGGTAAATAGGCGAACTGCAGCTCACACTGGTTTACGCGGCATCTAGCGGCGAATAGGTGAACTGTTGCGAACAATGCTGGTTACACCTAGTGGCGTTTATTCGAACTAGCATAAGTGAAATTTATTGATTATTTTGTCACTGACATCAAACTACTTGAAAGTACAACAAAGTAATAAATAACACTTTTAACCAAATATCATCCCGAAATTCGGATACACACAGGGTTAAAATAATATTTTATACTCTATCAAACATTTGGTGTGAACATTTTTAAAAATAATGACTAAATTACTGAACTAATTTTAATCGATATTTTCCTTATGTTATAAAGCACCTTTTCTGACTTCAAATGGTTTTCTATTATAGATACAAAATTCTTATAAAAAACAGGTTAACCTTTTTCAACTATAAAATGTTTGTTGTGCATTAAAATGTAATCATTAGCTAAATACAATAAAATTATATTCATCTCTGAAATCGATACCATACTATTAAAATTACTAGCTTAAGTTCAGAAGCCATAAATATTTATCAATATGATTTAAAAAAATGCTAATAGTTTTTTAAACCCCGAATGGTTATTTAAACCCTTATCAAACATAACTCTTCGAATAAGAAATTTTAATAATGCAAAATTATTAAGAATAGAGTAGCTTAGTATTTACTGTATGTATTTATGTTTGAGATAAAAATATGTGGTAATGAGAAATATTGATGACTAGGTGAAACCCTTCGAAATTGACGGATAAGTGTAAGTCCTGAAATTGACGACCCTGCATGACTACTACCCCACGAGTATTTCTGGGAGATTCCTGGGATTTAAGGGGTAAAGTGCAAGCTGAGGTCAGGTACCTGCTCCCTCGAAACCTACCCTCCACAACACACAATAGGGGCAGCAAAGGCCGAGTCAGGGGCAGCGCAGGCCGAAAGTCAAACCTACATAGCAGTTGGTGAAAGTAAACATCTGCTTTCAAATTATATTTATTTGTAAACATTGTAGTTCAAAAAGTCTGAAATTGGTCCACTTAAAACCCTATGGGGCGGAGCCCTTTTGACGAATCTGCACCAAACCATCCTTGAAATAATGCCTGAAAGTTTCATTACAATCTGTCTATAGTGTCAATTCTGTCAAAGCGGTTTCGGAGTCCATAACGTATATTATACATAAATCTATCTATATATTAATAGGCAAGCATGTTTCTTTAAAACCTTTTTTCTCAGCTCGTGTGTATCGTAGGGAAAATCTACGCATACCGTTAGAAAGCTATTTTCCTGTAGGTGTGCAGAATCCCTTTATAAATTAAAATAGGCTCAAAAATAAGCACAAAAAATGAATTTGAAATTTTAAAAAATTAACATGGGTCTTATGGGTTGCTATGGTGATGACAAAATAACAACACAACATAAACAGAAAATCAAAACAAATGGAAGACATTCCAATCACATGTTTTATTTACAGTGTGGATGAAAATAGAGAAGTTTGTAAAATACATAATAATGTATCGACTATACTTTTGGTCGATTTTTCGACCACGGGGCGTGCTCTCGTATATATATATACACACATACATACATAGCTCCTCTTTTATAGATATAGATAGATAATAAGCCAATCATCTGTCTCATATTAGAGACTCGACTCTCGGCTTTTCAAAGAATGTGATCTTATATACACAACTTACACTTCATGTTAATAAATCTGGTTAAGCGCGCTAGTCATGTACTAGCTACTCAAAACTCCCTGCGAGTGTCAACGGATACAGAGGACTCATAGTAAACTACCACGGCTTACAATCGCAAAATTATCCTTTAGTTTGTATCGATAACTAATAAGGTTTTTAAAAATAAAACAGTAATTGGTTTGTTTTGCTTGAATAGTTTAATATTACTAATAAATAAATACACTTCAATGTTTTATGTTTGAGTGACATCTAGCGGTGACTAGATAAACTACGGCACACTGGCTAGTGAGTAGTGACGCCTAGCGGTGACTTGGAGAACTGCGGCGCACTTCGGTTAGTGACAGCGCTTATACACTTGGACTTGGACTTGACTTTATCATTTTAATTTAAATGATTGAAATATGACTGATTTTATGAAAAAAAACCAAGAACACTTTTATTTACCATTTGAATTTTCTTTTAACCTACAAAAGATAAAAAACAAAACAAATAAAAATACTTGAAATACCACAATTTTTAGTTTTAAAACGAGTAGAATAAGGTAGACTAGTTGCACATTTTGCCTTACTAAAAACCGTGAGATTTCGCTACTTTTCATTTGATCTTTTTGAAATTAGTGTAGTTTAATAAAAAATTTTAAAACCCAAATTAAAAGGCTCATGAATTTTTTCCTATAAATTCAGCAATTCTTTAGTCATTTTGATTTAGATAATAAAAATACTGTCTTTTTCAAAATGCGTTAGCAAATTTTGTAAGCAGCATTTTTTCGTGTTTTTTTGTTAAATGTCAGTAATATAGTATGATACCATTAAAATCATAAAATTTGACCAACAGTTAGGCCTATCCACAAAAAGCAAACCAACATCAGTTAGTTTCCTTGTTAGTTCTCCATAAGAATAACATAAAAATCTTAAATTTAAAGTTTTATTTAAATTTTATCCATAATTTATAATTATATAAAAATGCTTTAGAGTTAAAAATATTTGTTTTATATGCTCTATACGATGGTTGAAGTGAAATCTTGGAATAGTTATGAAGGGTAAAATCTGAAAACACCTATTTTTAAAACAATCAAAACCCCAAACACCTATTTCTATTCTCTGATATAGGTTCGCACACTCATTCATGTGTAGCAAGGCCTACACATTCATTCCAAATTCCTTCTAAATTTGACAAAAATGAATTACCTTGTTAATGGAGAGACTTGAAATATATCCAGTCTTTACTTTTGTGCCACTGTAGTGAAATAGAATGAGCTTATCCCGTCCATTGTTTCCTTAAACTGATTATTTTGAAGGAGAGCGCTATGGAAAACCAAGGGCTTTCCACACAAGAAACCTAAGATATTCCAATAAAATTATTGAAGGGGTGACTGTATTACTGGCTAATTAGGATGAAAAATGTAAACATAGCAGGAATATTATTAGCATAGCCAAATAGAATTAAATATAGACTAACAGCTGACCTGCGGTTAGCATAAGTTCTGGCGTCCACCACTTGGACTGCTGCTTGGTTAAGTAGTGTGTGCGCCTCAACTACACGGCATCCCAAGCAGTGGACACCAGAACTTATGCTAACCGCAGCACTGCTGTCGGTCTATATTTAATTCAATTTTTCTATGGTATTAGGGTAAAAATTTAATGGTCAAGATTTGTAAAACGTGTTCAGTGCCTTATATAGACACTCATATAAATATGAAAATATGGACAAAACGTAATAATAGCACATTTTACCCATTAGACTGATCTAGTCTTAAAATATTAGGAATCTGTTCAGCACAAGTTCATTATGTTTAATATTGTAAAATGCACAACCTGTGCTATTTAAACACTTGGTGCTTATTTCAGCCAATGCCTTGACTAGGGAACTAATGTATATTCCAGTACATTCCCTCTTATCCGGACTCCCCGGGACTGAGGTGAGTCTGGATTGTGGGTTTTCTGGTTCAACCATCCCCCCCTAAAACTCATCAGGAATGTCTCATGTATTCAATGAACGCCGAACGATACATGTGTCACGCGAATCACTAGAAAACTAGCGTAGGTGTACCATATATTAAACATACAGTATGTTTAATCTATGGTTGTACCACCCACTTCGCGATTTTATTGATCAATGGGTTGTTGGGAAGCTCACTCCCTAAAAATGTTTTCTATCAGAAATACATGAAAACAGTTTTTTCACATCTCTTATTTGCAGGCAATTTTTGGCTGCCTGTATATTTTATTTGAAAGAAATGCAGTATAGTAATTTGTAACAAATCTTATTCTCTTTCAGAATATCACCTTCCACTTTGGTCTATATCGTTTAAAAGTTATTTGCAAAAAAAAACTTTTAAGCAACCTCTGAGTTTAAGGGGTGATTCAGTTTTAATTGTAATGATCTAATTCAGCAATTTAATTAAGTTACAAATTCAGCATTAAACTCTTGAAGTGCCATTTTAAACTCGAACAACATTTAACACGGAAGCTACGGTATACGGAATACCCTACACCACAGAGAAATAATAGTAGCTACTTCCCTATAGGGAAATTCCCAAAAAAATACGAATAACTTGTCTGACATACTCGACCCGTGTAAACCCAGGCTATAGTTCTCTCATAAGAATGCAGGCGTATGGCAAATAGTGGTTTGTTTACAAATAGTCGTCTAGCGGAGAATTACCTGCTCTGGATCTGGCGCAAGTGAGGAAAGAAATAAAGCGAATTAAAACCCATGTTTTGGCCCCTGAGCTGTAATATAATTAAAATTTTATTTTACCTTTGTCTATACAGCTTAGTCAGTTGGAACTTGCGTCATGGCTGTTTTGGCATTACAATGTCGTTATCAGACGCAGAAAATAAAGCTGAAATATTATCAAATAGTTACAACAACATGATTGACAGATTATTGGCCATTGGGTAAGAAGAAGGACCAAAAGACTGGAGAGGTTCAACCACAAAAGAAGAAGTATGTCTGTGTAGAATACTCAAATTCAATTCAATACACGCTTACAAAAGAATTTTAGAAACATACTATTGAATTAGCATTCAAGACATTGACAAATTTAATGTTTCTGATGAAATAATCGACAAAAGTGAGAAGTCAAGTGAAATGTGCTATAGTTAGCCGAGCTTTTATATAGGAAAAGCTGGATCATTCAGAATTAAGTACAAAGAGCATCATTCTTGTCCAAGTAATAAATTCGACACACTCGAAGAACATGAAATTTCCAGAGCAGCTAACACAGAAAATAATTTTTAATTAACAATTTTAAATGGCAAACTACAATATGAATCACACTTCATATTCAATAGTATTTTAAACTAGGACAAGAGACCAAAGGCAGGTATACAACAAGATGTATGGCCCATATATCTTGGGTGTACAAAGGTCAATTGATAACACCGCCACACTATGATGGATGCAGGGATTAAAGCTCCAGTCGGCATCCAGTTCAGATTGTGGAAATGTCAACCGGTGCGGTGCGTGCAACAGGCCTGTCTAATTTAAATTTTGTATATTCTTTAAATGTAGTTCGTTAAATGTGTTTGTGTGTTTCTGTTTCGACTATGAGGACGCTACTTCAGCGGAATTTTCCACCTCTGTAGACTGATGACCTGACCTCTGATTGCAATGCCGAAACAGCGGTAAGGCAAGTTACAACAGATTGAGCTGTAGACATAAGTAAAATATGTTTTTAAGAATGAAGTGACCCATGCGAACTCTAGGAAATTGACAAAATCAGTACAATACAATACCGAACAAAGTTACAAAGTTAGTGATTGCGTTCATAACATTACCCTCTTTGACCTACCTTTTATATTCATTGCCTGTTTTATTTTATGTTGTTCTTAATTCACATAACAAATTTTTTTTAATGTAATACTTTTTAAACACTCATTAATATTGCAGTAATCAGGTAAAATGAAACCATATTCATATTTAATGAAAAAAATTTAATAATTGTTATTATTATAACTTTTGTTCACAAAATAACATTCCGAAATTCGGATACACACACCGTTCAAATAATATTTAATACTCCATAGAACATTTGGTGTGAACATTTTTAAAATACTGGCTAAATTACTGAACTAAATTTAATCGATATTTTCCGTATGTTATAAAGCACCTTTTCTGACTTCAAATGGTTTTCTAGATGCAAAATTCTTATAAAAACAGGTTAACCTTTTACCTATAAAAGGTTTGTTGTGCATTAAAATGTAATCATTAAATACAATCAAATGAAATTCATCTCTGATATTTTAAAACTAATACCATACTATTAAAACTACTAGCTTAAGTTCAGCAGCCATCTTTATTTATCAATATGATTTGTACAAAATACTAATAATGCTAGTTCAAACCCTATAAAACATTACTTTTGGAATAATCAAAAACAGCATCTAGTGAAATTTAAATGTTGCAAAATTCTTAAGAATAGAGTAGCTTAATATTTATGTATTTATATTTGAGATAAAAATGTGGTAATGAGGGATACTGATGATTGTGATAATGATGACAAGAATATGAAATATTACGAAATAAATAAATTCAAGATTGTAGTCACTACACACATAACTTTGGAAATTATTATAATTTTAAATTGCAAAAGCCGGAAATTAAACCAATCAAATTCTTTCATATTTCTTACTTAATATTTATCAATTACATAGTTTAGTTTACAGACGAATAAATTTAGCGAGTTAATTTCCCTCATATATTTTTTTAATTAATTATTAATTTAGCTATTAATTTTAAATTATTAATTTTGTAAATTGGAATCTAAAATTTATCTCTAATGTTTTGGTCATAAATTAAAGAACACACTAGAAATTAAGGTTCATTGTTTTAACAAAACTAGGCTACTCTAAAAAATTACTTTTTTAAAAAGTTTAAGTTATTTTTGGAAATATTATACTCAATAAGAGGATGTGTCAAACTGTGTAAAATTCAATTATTTCATATTCTTAAGGTGAAAAATGTTTAAAATACATTTCCTAAATTATTTTATCATGTCTTAAAAAAAAAAAAAAATACTTGAGTTTGGTCAATTTATAGTGTTTGCTGAAATTTTCTATTTATTGAAATCCTAAAGGGTTCCACGATTATATAAATTATTCTTAAAAACACATAAAGAAATCACCAAATCACTTCAAACACAGAACAATAATTGAAATGTAGTTCTTTTAAATTGAAATTTTTTGTCATTCAGTTGATTTTCATACACTATTGCTCCAAATATCCACCTCATTACAAATATGGCAGTAGGGAATCAAAAATACTGTAACAACACATCTTTCGAAATTAAAGTAATAATAGTTTTTAGATTAGCATAATTCAAAAGCAAAGATGTTTTTACTGATAAACTAGTATTGTTAGAAGGTCACATACAGCAAAGAATTATCACCAACACTTATCCTAGATATTGCCATTAGTAGGAAATGGAACAACCATAAGTGAAAGATAGGTTTACTACATGGATATGCTCTAACTGTGGACTCTGTTTTGTTATTTGGTTATTTTCAAGATATTAAATTCTCCCCAAAACCTTTAATTGCACACCGCCTTAATGTACAAAATTATTTCTTTTTTAGCTCAACATAATGGTTATAATAACAATTGGGAATTTTCATGATGGATATTTTTAAATAACCAATTTTTGAAAATTTTGAAAACTTTTATAATACTTTGTATTTTACGCGATCTTGCTGACTCGCAAACTCATTCAAGTTTGTCCAGCACAACACAATTACGCCAAATTTATGGACCTCAAGTACTCGAGCTATTGTATTTTAGAACACATCTAAATACAGTACATAAAAATTTGACGAATAGTGTTTTTGAAATTCGCTTAACATAACATATTCAATGATCTCTTCTATCTTTCTAAACTTATATTTTTAACACAAACTTTGAGAAAAAAATTACAAAAAAATAGTTTTGATAAAAGCACTACTGGGGAATTTTTTTAAAATTTGTGATGTAAGGAAAATCTCAAAACATAAAAAATAATTATAAAAATTAAGCAGCACAGCCAAACAGACTTTGAAGCTTAACATTATAAAATTGATTGTAAAAAAATGTGTTTACAACTAAAGGGAATTTTCTGTAGATATAAGACCTATCCTCCATTATACTATAAACTCATAATAATTTTAAAACAGTTTTAAATTAGACTTTTAAGTGTTAAATGTTTTTAACCAATAACTCCACAGAGCCACATTTCTAGTTGAATTACGAATCAGTGAAAGACTATAAATTCTACAGGTTAACTTGATATAGTTAAAAATATAAGTCAAGAAAATATTCATTACATTCCAAACAGCTTAAGAGCGCCTCTTCCGATTCGAAACATCAAAACGCTAGAATAAAATAATTAAAGTTACACACTAAGATATGGTAAATCGTTAACAATTATATCCACACACAAATTCAAAAATAAATTACGGTAATGAAAACATCTTAACAGAAACAAGGTAAAACAAAGTCGTATTTACAATATTTTCAAACCGTGTATAGCATAGGCCTATCTATGAAATGGTCTTATGTATACTTAAATGTATTAAATTATCGCTCCTATGCATACTACTTTTATCACTATTAGTTTTCAAGCACTTTTTTAGATATAACTTACTTATAAACTATACGAACAATAAACTATTGATAAAATATCTTCCCATAAGTAACTGAACAAGCAATAACTTCGGGTTAAAATTTAACAGGTTAATAATTTGAGAAAACTGGCCAGTGATATGTCAATGAGGTACGATGAACAATTAGTTGAGTCGAAATTTGATATAGTAGATATAATAGTACTAAAATTTTAGTTTCAAATTCAAACACATGATCTAAAGATGTATTCAAAGATCCAACATAAAATTAGATCAAGTCAACAAGTTAATGATATAAAATCCAGACAGAAAGCCTGCGATAGTTTAGAATTTTTTTCTTTTGGACTTGACAAGTACTAGTATTTTAAATTGGCAAAGTGAAACAAAATAGGAAAATGAAATCTGATTCACTTTTACTGAATACAGATTAATTGCAACGTGGAATTTATCATGGATTTAATTTATTTATTTTCAACAACAAAGAAAGGTTAAAAATTACAATATTTTAAGATTTTAATCACACAGTTTGAAATCCTGAAGAAACACTTAACACGATAACAAAGTTAGCGAAAACGTCTCGATTATATACACACTGAAACACCAACATAAAAGTCTAGGCAGTGCAAAAATTATTCAATCTAGGTAAAAAGAGGTTCGTCGATATAAAAAGCCTTATGAATTTGTTAATTTGTACCTAACTATTAGCGTATATTTACAATTATATAGTAAGAAGATTTAAAAGATATATTCATGTATAACGTACGTGACGTAAAGCTTTCGTGAAAAGATATACATGTGGTATATTGTCACATTCTTAAAACTATACTACCTTATAACAACCTCGGATGTGAGCGGATGTTGCGCGGTTGGCACTACTTAGTGCAATGAGCGTCCCCTGGTGTAGGCGTTGACGTTTTATTGTTGTCAGGTTGGTAAATAGGCAATTGTGATTAAGATTTCCGTTTAACCTCTACTTTGGTTTGTTCTACCATTGATCAAATATTTGAATCAAATCTCTACAGAACACCTTCTCTCATCCAGGCAATCATCGAATCATTGAATCATCAAACTAATGTAGATAAAAACCTGAACTAAACACACCATGAAAGTGATGTAATATTTAGAAACCAATATTAATTATCAGTGCCATAGAAAGACGACCCTTCTACATTTCTGCATATTACTTTTGAAAATAAGAATATATAATGTGTTCAAAAACTCATAAAAATTGAATTTCAGCGAAGCAAATTTTTAAAAGGTACTAAATTTAATACAAACACACAGGAATGTAAGATTTGCGCAAAATGTACGACCACACTCAAACATTTACTTAGTCAGTTTTCTGATTTTCATTTTTCCTTGTGTGGTAAAAAAATACTAACCTTTTTGGGTAGCTACATGATTTAATTTGATGCAATAAAGCCACAGTTACCTGAAGCTAGTTGGCCGGCAGGTTACCTACCTCAGGTAACTTAAAATACACTCGAGGCATGTAACCTGCTTGCTCTGCTGGGGTCTCAAGTAAATACTTTTTAAGTATTCAGTATTAAGTATTAAGTCTCAAGATTCCTAGGTACGATTTGTAAACCAACCATTTTCAAATTCTAGGGTCGCAACCCCCCCCCCCCCCACCCCCCCCCAAATACTTTTTTGGGGAGGGGGTGAACATTTAAATTTCACCCCGGGCGTTTATTACCCTCGGGGCGGCCCTGTTGGGAGGATTAACCAAACTATTATTGCCCTGGGGGAGTCGTTCAACCTGAACTTTAGTTGATCGTGGGTCTGTTAAGAGAAGGTCTTCTGTATGTGTAAGTTTAAACACAAAGATTATAGACTTTTTATGCATTACATGGTCAAACACATTTTACGTCGATACTTGTTCATCTATATTTTAAAGGTAAACAGCTTGACATAGTGTTTCAATATTTAGTAGTGTTGATAGATGCTACAACAATTCTTTAGAACAAATCCCTTCGGTAATGCATTAATGAATTCACTTATAAATCATTCATAGCTAAAACCTTACACATATCAAATTAAGTAAATACAGGAAATATTAATTTTTCTAAATCAGTATTTTTTCACACATTTGTTCTTATTATTTATAATCACCAAGAAATCATGCTTAAGGTCTCATAACAGGCTCATTGACTTTGAAACTGGTTTTGAACAAATAATTGTAATACTGTATCTTTCAACAGAAATACTTTACCACACTATAAAAGTATTTGAAATATTTTCTAAACTACAATAATAACTGCCACTATTGTTATTAATATAATGTTGTCTGTTATTATAAAAAATGATGTTTTGACTATGATCAGCCATCAGAGAAGTAAAAGAGTGCATGGCAAAAAATGAAATGATAATATATAAACATTTCAGTACTTGATTACCATAATTTAAATTAATAAATACATTTATTTGTTCTTATTGCGAGAACTAGCACAATACTGTTGGCTCCAGTAAGACGGAGCTGGAGTGGCACTAGAGACCACAGCTGGGTGGTCATGTGACCTGATAGTACCTCTACAAGCACTTGGGGTATTAAACTGTTTAAAACCTCCAGCGGCTAGGGATACCAGCTCATGCGAGTATTTCTGGCCGCTGGAGAATCAGTCACGATGCTGGTTTTCTGCTGGTTCTAGCTGCAAGCTACTAGAGGTGAAAAAACCAGCTCCTTGTGACAGGGGCTTGAATAAATATTAATAGAATAGATCAGATACCTGTTGGTGGTTGGTTAGTAATTTTTAGAAGGAGTTCAAAATGTGATAGAGGGAATTGTGAATGCTGACTATAAATACAGTGCTTGCCTAGTAATTAGTGCTCCTAGTAAATGAAACAGCTGGTCATAGTCAGTAACAAAGCCATAGAGGCATCTCACTTCATTCTACATTCTTTCTTCAATTTTGTTCAAGTAGAATAGGTAAATAGAATTGTGTCCCTGTCTCAATATAATGGTAATTATAACTTATAACGTAATTATAAATTCCAGAACATTACTTGAGCTACAGACCACATAAGCAGTCAAAACAGCTGATGTTGAATAACTACAGCTGTTCATGTGAACAATGTGGGCAAAGGTTTAAGATATTCTCGATTATTTTACTCATAAGACAGTTTCAAAGTCATTCAACCTAGTTGATCTCTATACACAGATTACAGTCATAAATAAATTTAAGTAGACAAAGTGTTATGTTTTTCCCCAGCCATCTCCTATTTAAGTTGTACAAACTTAGACGTCATAGAATTTTTCAAATTGTTGACTAATAACACCATTTTTAAAGTCATTAAACCTTACTGGTCTACAGACACACAGCAATACATATTACGCAGAAGTTTATGTTTTTCTCTTGCCATCTCCTGTTTCCGTTTGTCACTGTGCAGCGTACACCAGAGAAAGAGTTAGGCTGTGACGAAGCTAGCTACGCCAACCGCACTCATATAAGTAAAGCTTGCTCAACTCCTGCGGTGGGAAAATGGGAGCCGTTGAAAACGTAGAAGAGCTCAGAAACCTGTTTTCAGAAGGTCCTGAGGTGTCCACCTAAAAAAAACACCTGTTTAAAGACCATGGTAAATTTGAGTAACAAAGTTAATTGAAGTATATTATTGCAATAAAATATACAAGGGTATTTTAAGTAAGGGCCGATTTCACGTATAAATCCGTAAGTCGCTTGTACGCCGCAACGCTTATCACAATTTATTGGCATCATTTGTGAACAGAATGGCACAAGTTCCAGCTCTGTAGCTGTCATATACGCTTTGCTGGGTGTGTTTAAAATTTCACAAATGGCTGGAGTTGATGTCCCTACAATGAGTGTGGAAATTGGTTATGGAGTGTAAACATGGCCGTAAATTCCTTTTTTCCAAGTGGTCTTCTTTGAGACGTCTGGGGTACCCAGGAAAAACACAATTCCTTCCAAAATGAGCATTTTCACAGCCATTTTTAAACTCCCCAGCCTATTTCTGCACATTCTACGCTTATCTTTGCATCAGGCTCATAATCTCCAGTCATCTGGCGATGAATGTCGGCATCGTATATGTTTCTTGTAATCAAAATACGTATCACTGACCTTACCTCGGACACCACAAAAGATTTGATTGTTTAACAAATTTTAAAAACACACAAAAAAGTGTATATGACAGCTCCAGAGCTGAAGTTTGTGTAATACTGTCCACAAATGATGCCAGTAAATTTGGATGAGCCTCATTGCGGCGTAGAAGCGAACTACGGATTCACACAAAACTGGCCCTTACATAAAAACCACCCTCGTATGAACGGAAATTAAATCTTTATCGTGTTTCAACACCAACTACCTAGTGATTATGCAACTACTGGGTAGCTCATTAGTATAGTGCTTGCCTAGTAATCAAAGGTTGCCAGTTCGATCCCGAGAAAAGTGTGTAGAATTTTGATGGTTCAAAACTGGACCCAGCTGTCCTTGAGCATTAGGCTTTAAATAGTTCTGACTAATGAAACAGCTGGTCATAGTCAGTAACAAAGCTACAAGGCATTTCATCCTTCATTCATATTTGGGTAGCGCACATAGGTGGCGTCCAGGGCCGTACTCAGACCGGTTTATCCGAAAAAAATTTTCTGGGCCTTGCCAAACATAGCACAGAAGTGTGGTGGAGTGGGGGGGCCCAGCCTTTAATATCTTTACAAGGGCCTGCCAAATCTATATACGGGTCTGATAGCGTCCCCATGATTAAAAAACCTTTGATTTTTTATGTTTACCTAGCATTAACCTGTTGTTAGCCAATATCATTAATTGACAGCCCAATGAGCAATGGCAAATGGACGAACCCAGAATCAAACAGGTGACCTTCAGAATTCAAAAAAATCATTTTTAGACTTTTTCAACTCACTAAAGAACGACGTGGACAGCGTGAGAGACTATGACGTATCAGCAGACTACACGTGGTCCAACTGTTCATACTGTCACTGGATGCTGCAGAACGGAAGCTTCTGTTCCTTAGACTCCTCGTGAAGGTCCTCTTCCTTGGGAGAGGAGTCGCCCGCCAGAGATCCGCCCGGCGGGCACATTGTTTGTCATCTAAGCGCCAGAGTCGACACCATCGGTGGACGAGATGGCTTGTTGTCTAGGATACGCTCCAGCTCGTTCATGGTGTTTGTGTTCAGCTTCGGCACCATCTGGAAAATAAGTTGAGATCAACTGGACGAACAGGTGGTGGAAATCAGGGGGTTTGGATGTTCTGGAAACGTTGACAAGGAATGTGAAAATTGTACAGCTACCAGAATTAACAGATTTTCTGGAGATGGAATATAAATTGATCCTTCCTATGCCATTGGAGTTTTTAGTAAAGTTCTTAACTTTACTCCTATGTTTCAGTACATGTCATGCATGCTTTCAGTAGCTTTTTGTTGATTGATCCATTTCATTATGGTCTAGGCATTCTATTCTCATAAAATCGTAGCTAGTTTTAGGATCAAGATGTATGTAGTTGAATCTAGCCAGAAGTGTGATGATGTAACTGATTTCTGTCACACACTCCAACTCTTTAACCAAGCCAAACTGAAACAACAATTTCTTACAAACTAAGTCAACTGGATTAGCTTACTATTGTGTCTTTATCGCCGTTTCGGATCTCATTGGGAATGCAAAAAAGGTGTGTACGCAAGTAAACTAGCTGGGGTACCTGTAAGCTGTGAATAGCCTGGTAGAGCTGTTCTACGCTGGTAGCACCCAGCAATAGGCACTGAACACTATCGTTCTTGAGGCACCAGGCGATACTGAGCTGGATAACAGAACACCCGAGTCGTTCAGCGACCTGCGCAACCTCACGCAGCTTCTCCTGCTGTCGTCTGTTGTCCTCGGGCTGCATCCGCTCCTGCGACATTCAATCAGTCAATCTCTTACAGGGTTATCCTAACTGCCGATTTCGGCTGCCAGAAATTGCTGCGGGATTGTGGATGTTGTGCGAGTTCTAAGCACTAAGTTTTCTTTATCAAATTCGGGTTTCTAGGAAAACACCGGTACCTGACCTTTATATGTTTAGGTTTTTTGCTAAAAACACAGCTGTATTCGACAGCAAATTTTGGCAGTTAGGAAAACTTGTCTAATTTTAAACTAATCCATTGTATCTCCAACAATTTCAACATTTTTTTGAAATTTTGATTTTAAACGGTGATTTTGCCATTACCCATAAGATAACTGAAAAAGCGGATTTTCACAAAAATAGATTGAACAATTTTGATACTGAAGGACCACATACTGAATTTCAGTATATGGTACTTTTAACTTTAAATGAAACGGTACAGCCCTCAATCCTGTAAAAATTACTTTTATAGGAATAGGAGAGAAAAAATACAGTCACAAACTCTTAGTCTAACTTGTCAAGGCAGTTAAACTTATCCAAGTTGTCAATTGGAATTGAAAAAGGTCTTTCCTAATTTTTACTCATTTAGTAAAAACTACCTTGCACAATCATCTTCCTAGACAGAGAATATCTCGAGCCATTGAAAGTGTTCAAAAAGGACGATGTAACTTACAACGAATAGGAAGTATCAAGTTCAAGATTCAATGATATCTGTTCAATTGGCTCAGTCGCTATTATTTCTTTGACACCCTGCAGTAGAGCAGACTACAGCTGATAATATGAGTCTTGCACAGCCTAACTTGTCAATAGAAATCTTCAAACTAAATCTTGTTTGCTAAACACTACAAGTAAAATAGGAGTACAAATTTAGCGTGATAGCTAGTACTATTCTAACTTCTAGTACTAAACTCTACTCTAAACAACATGCAAACGACCATGCACACATTCTAGGTTAATTAGCCAATATTAGTTATTTAGTACAAGTTTACCAGTTAAAGTTTACCATTTTAGATATTCAGTACGGTACCGGTAGGGTTTATTCAATTATGTGTTAGTAATGGTTAGACGTTATTATAGTTTGCAAAATTGTTTTCCATGCTTAAACTTTAAATTTGAAATAACTACTTTGTTTTAGTTTTAAAAATAAGTTAAGTTACATTTGGAATAATCACAACAAAACTATGATATAAAACACCAAATTACTAATAAATTGGAAGATATCGTACTATTATTAACCAATTTAATTTAAAAACTATTAATCTCTCATCCTTGTTCTTGGACTTTATTTCAAGTAAAGCACACATGCTGAAAAATGTACAATACATTGAGTTAGGTTGTTTAGTTTTTGATTAAAAGTTTGTTATTTCCATTTCGGATCCTAAAAGAAAATATCTAAATTACCTCTTTAGTCGACTGAGTTTCGTCTTCAGTCCAACTGTGAGAGAATGAAGAGTACTTGTTCTGTAAAAGTACAAAAGTATCTTCTTACAGATTCACTTGCTTTGGTTTAACAATCTTCGAAATAAAATTTCAAAGTTAATGTTAATTTTTATTTTAGGATTAGAATTCAAAGGTTTAAATTAACTAAGACACTAATTTAGGCCTACTCTATGAAATAGTTTGATAGCACAAATTACAAAGGGTTACAGTTACAATATTATTATCAGGACTGCTTTCGTAAATGGACTCAGGGTCGCAAAGGGTTTTAGTTTTGTTGGGAATACAAGGAAGAGAAAAATTACCCGCAAGGAAGGTTGGGCGCAAATAGCTCTCGGATCAATATTGTGTCTAATGTGAACCACGGGCCGGAATATTCCCTTAGTTTTTATTGATTTAAAAGAAATCGATTATTTCAAGAAGTAAAACTTAATTTTGAAATAAGAATTTAGTGTTTAACCCTATCAAGAGTTTAACCAATTAGTTTTTCAGCGTATTGTTGCAAACAAATTATTGTGATTTTCATAATTGCCATATCATTTGCTAAAACGCATAAACTTTAACTTTAACTGGCTCTAAAGAAATAGCAATGACAATTTTGTGCAAGATAAAACGAGTCTGTAAAACTTACGAGAATGGACAAAATTTGGACTTGAAAAGACTCATTAGCCGTAGACGCCGAGATACGCTTAAATATTCAGAGATGAAAATTGCTTCCTTTCTTGGCTTGGATTCCAACTTATCTCAACTGCAATGCATGGGAATAATCTTCATTTTGAACATTGCTTAACTTTTTGTTATTGATTTATCGTGTAGTTTGAAATCACAAAATAAACAAAAATTGTTTATACTAGTCAGTAATTTCAGTTTTAGACACATTCATACATAATTAAGTTTTGATATTGCAATTAACTATATCTAAGACTATAAGAGCTTTATTAGCTATCAAATATGTTTTGCCAAAAAATGTACTTAGTCTAAAAGGAGTTAAAAAATATAGAAAATCTTGTGTGTTAAATTTTGTAACATCAAGTAGAGATTTTATGAGTGCATGATAAAATAAAATATGTTAAAAAACCACTGTCTATCAGAAACGAATACCTATTCTAAGCAACTTAGAAGAAAAAGATTTCTTTGTTGTGATATTGACTAGAATATTATAATATAGACTAAAGATATTTACTAAATTACTCTCCACGAAGTATAAATAATCTAAATATTACTAACTTATGTAATCTCTATACAAATATCTATGACTCATTCAGAAGAATTATAAGTATACAAACAGTATATGAATGGCTCTCATTGAAACTTATATTTTATTTAAGTTAAAAGAAGTTAATAAAAGATGTAAATACCTAACATCTATTTTTTGTTATTTTTACTACTTTTCTTTACACAATTTTCCTCTATTCTTTCACATATTCTAGCTATCCATCAAACTAATTAAGAAACTAAAATATTAAAGTGTTCTAATGATCTATGTACATCTAAACACTAAACTAAACCATCTTAAAAACTATTTTAATCATACAAAATTAAAATAACCAGCAATAAAACCTACACAAACATAAAACAACACAGATTATATTGACTGTGATCCCTGCTAAATCATCTATATTAAATTAAATTTAGGTTAGTAAATTTTGGATTTTCAATTTACCTTTACCTTCATCGACGATCTTGAAAGAACCGGTAAACCACCGTCGTCAATTTTACCGGAGACCAAACCCATGGCTAGTGGTGACCACGCCATGAGACCCACTCCTGCAAAAACATAGTGCATTGGTTAGTCTGATATTGTCCAAACTTTTACAATCAAAATACTAAAAACATCCAATCTGTTATTCGTACCAGTCTATAGGTTTTAAGTGTTATTTCAAAAAAGGTTACAGTTTTATTGTGTCATAACTATACACTTAGCAATTTGGCAGTGCTCCTGAATAAGTGTATTTTAAAAAGTGTTTAGGGACACTATATTTTTATTTTTTATACGTTAGTGATATTTTTCAAGAGGTCAACATGAGAGTTAAGTTTTGTGGATGTGCTGGAATTTGAACCCGTCCCTCCCGCACGGAAGTCCGCGAAGCTAACCAATTGGCTAGCAACTCAGCCATATTGCTAGGGATATAAAAAAGTAAGTTTTAAAGAATGAATAGTTCATTGAGCACAACAAAGTCTTTTTCAACCTCCATCTCTTCTGTACCAGCAATAAAGCTAGTTATTTCTTAGTTCGAGAACAGGAAACAGAAGCAAAGGATGTTCCCACTCACTTACTTCAAACATTACTTACTGCGGCGCAGTGAAAATGTTTGTGACTGCAGCACATTCCACAATGAAGCGAGAAGTGCAAATTAGGCAGTGCATTGCACAGAAAATTGACTAGAAAAACTTAGCTTCACAGGGAACAATAATCTACAAATCGACTCTGGTAAAATTTAGACTACCGAAGCTCTAAAAGTGGAATCTTACCGATCTTGTTGTACAACTCGGGCATGTACAGTTCCGTCTTCTCCCTACAGAACATATGGTACTCCGTCTGCTCGATGATGGGAGTGATGCAGTTGAACTGACGACAGTTGGTGTAGGCTTCCATCACTTCCACCGGCGTCCACTTGGCCGTTCCCCAGTACATCACCCAGCCTTGACCAATCACGTGGTGCATGGCTCTCACCACCTCTGCGGAAAAATGTCAAAGTTCACAAGATGAAAGAAATATTACAATAATTAATTTCTTACGCTAAACCTAAACTATAAAACTTTGCTCTCTACATTCAGCTATGATCTGCCAGCAGTTTATCAAAATTTAAAAAATTTGCTCAGATTAGCAACATTTAACGTATGCAGAAATAAGAGAAAGGTTATTTTTGATCCGTCACTAAAAATGTTTACTGTACCATGGAATGTTATCCGACTAAGGTAAACCCCAAAAAGGTTTTGACACACGTAACAACCGAATGATCGCTATCAGTGTCTTTTATCAACCAGATAACAGATTTTTAAGTAAACTTACCTTCTGTTGGACACATTGGGTCTGCCCTGTGAACAATTACGACGTCAATATAGCTGAGTTGTAGTCTAGCAAGTGACGCTCGCACTGACTCGATGATATGCTTTCTTGACAACCCCCTCTCTTCAGATCTGATCAACAAATAGATGCATTTAAAACATTGAAAAGTCAATACCGTACTACTCATGACTAGCAAAATATTATTTTAAAATGTCTATTGTAAAAGTTTCAAATTTTTGGCCCATCAAGAGGAATGCAATTGTAATTCTTTGCTAGCTAAACTTAAACTTATTGGTAGATCAATTAGTGAAGGTCCACACCATCCTTTGCAATTTCTTGGTTAACTCCACTAAAAGCAAGGCTTTTATGATTGTGTTTTAAGACAACATCACATCATTATCAAGGTGTGGTTTCAGCCACATTACAGATCGTAATTTTCAGAGCAATATTGGAGCACTGCCACTACAATGCTCCTTACTTGTGATTTGCACAGAGAAGTAAGAAACAGTGGATACACTACATGCAACCTTTAAGTGGTGACTAGAAGGGCAAAGTCCAACACCACGTCCCTTGCCCTCATGTACTACAACGCTCATGGTTGAGGAGGACCCTGTGCCCTGTGCGATAGGAATTTCCCCACAGTACTCGCCGTTCGAGCTCTTCTTGCTCGTCACAAGTATATTTCTGGCACAACATACTAGAGCTGAAAGCGCATGGTTGTCCCATAAGCATGTTTCCTCTGTTTACTTCTCTGTGTGCTTTTACTGCCCTGAGCATGAACATTTCTGAATAGGCTGAAACTTGATCAGCACACCATGTAAGTGATGACTGATGTGACACTGTTTCACCGGGAAGACTCCCAGCAGGGTTTTTAATTCCTTTGGTAGTATTTCCTCCCCTCTCAGGCAATGAATCAAAGAAAATCTAGTTTATAAACTAGCCTATAGCAACAACAGTGAAACCCAAATTATAAATATTTTCTTCATAGTTTCTCCTGTCATAGTATTTTGATTTCAATTTGAATTTCCCTTCTTTCAACTTCTCTTAACTTTTCTCCAAAGTATCCAGAGCTAAGAGCTGTATTATTCTTTCAGTTTTTAAATATTTTAAGCCTGGACAATTAATTTTGAACTTTGCAACAATAATAGTGAAGTAAAAATGAGGAGTGTGTGTTTGAATATTACTTCTCAGTTCCTTCTTTTGCTTTGGAACAGTCTGATTCTCAATAATTGTTCCATTAACTTTTCCCAAAAGTTCTAAATGCCATTGTAAGAAGCAATGCCTTTTAACCTTAAAATAACATGATTTTCTAAGAGATAACATTTTTATTACCAATCAAGATAGGGACACAACGCTGTGTATTTGATCCCGAATGGATTAAGGGGGATCATTGAATGGAGTGGAATGTCTTGTGTAGCTTTGTTACTCACAAGATCAGCTGTTTCTTCAACCAGGTCCATTTATTAAAAGCTCAACAATCAAAGACAGCTGAGCTATACCACAAACAAATAAGTGGAAACAATCAACATTACCATAGACAAAAAGAATGAAATATAGACTGTCAGACATGCTGCGGTTGCCATGGTTACCATAGGTTCTGGCGCACACCGCTGTAGTTTACATAGCGCGTACGCCGTAACTACCATGGTGCTCCAAGCGGTGTGCGCCAGAACCTATGGTAACCGCAGCACAGCTGACGGTCTATATTTAATTCTTTTTGTCTATGACATTACTCACTTAGAATTCCAATAGATCTTAGTTGTAACAATATAAGAGCTGCGTTTCCAGCCCTTCTTCTGCAGGATGTGTCCCAACTCCAGTTCCGCTCGGATGCCGCAGTGAGCTTCCGAGAGGTCGAAGACGTTGATGCCGCTCTCGTACGCCGCTTGCACCACCGCCTCGGCTTGCTCTTCACTGACGTTGTTGCCAAATGTCACCCACGTCCCTGTAACACCATATCCTTGAAAATTGAACCATATCCCTCTTCTTAAGTAAAACGTTTTTGATACATCAACAGGTATTTGTCCTAGAGAGCTATCCAATTTGGGGTTCCATTATACTTTGAAAATGTTTTCTGTTTGGATTTTGGATTTTTTTTTTAGTGGTATGATGTTCCAGTGGATACAATTAATTTGTCCATAAGTACTCTATATGTTAATTAAAAATGTTTTCTCGCTTATAAAATTCTTTTGACTTCAAACACAACAATTATGTAGATATATATTTTTTTATTATAAGACTCTCACTACCTATGGTAGTTAAAAAGATAACTTTTTTTTTTTAAACATAATGATATATGTTTAGACACAATTGAATCAGAACTGAAGTGTACATGTGTTTTGGTGGTTGATTCAAATGCATGTCCCGTCTCCATCAGACACATTTGGGATTTGTTCACAATGGAGAACGCTGTCCATCTGCTGTCCCATTACTGCCAGTCAAACTTCCTTCACTAGAGGCTTAATTGAATTCAGATAAAACAATGAGGTACAGGTTTTCAAGGCCTAACATTTAGCAATGGTTGAGGATTGTCATTTGTCATTTATACGTGGGCTAGTTAAATTTTAATGTGTCTCAATATTCAATACTTCGTAATTCCAACTGTGCCGGATTGTATAAGTAAAAAACGGTTTTCACCCAAAACATACATTAGCCTAAATACTTTCACACTAATATGACAAAATATACTTAGTAAATGTCAATCATAAATCTTTACTTACAGAAAAAAACAGTGTTCAAGTTTGTGATGAATAGGTAAAATATTCAACTGTCAATTAATTTTAAAAATCGGTTAAATAGGACTTTAGAAACGGGTGTCACAGAGAAAATCCTTATATTAAGAAAATAGATGGTCTAAAATAGTATATTTTGCACTAAAGGGCCAACAGGTGAGAAGAAAATTCCATATACAGTACTAGTAATAAATGCAGTAGGCCTACAAAAATCCTACTGTTATTACTTCATTTCATACTTTGCCTGAAAGCTTCAGACAATGTATGTATAATGCCTGCATTAACTGTACTTTGCCAGTAACATTAACGGCGCTCTAGCAATACAGAGCCACGCATGTATTGCGGGTATTGCGTCGGGAAAATACCACGGCGCTGCCAACAAAAAAAAATTGTTGCAAAATGTTGAGTTTATGGAAAATGAATATGATTTATATTAACAAAATAGTCATATCAATATTACATTTTTACTCAAAAGCACCACACGTGCAAATAGAATTTTCACATTAAACTTTGAGCAAGTAAAAAAATTGTACCCGTATACGTATGTCTATATGTACTATATTATGTACATCCATTTTAAGGAGGCTATACATGATCTATATACAGGGTGTTTTTTTAAAAACTTGCATCTTTATTTATGTAAAAACCGCAATAGATAGAAATATGCAGTTTGCGGGAATCATCTATTGACGTAGGGGGACCAATTGTTTTGAATTCAACGTTACATTCATATTCCCCCCCCCCTTACCCCCCTGCCCCAACTTAATTTTTTTAAATAACAAGGTACCCCTTGTGACATATCAAATAAAAGAGCATGAAAAAAGAAAATTTTTGATGAAAAAAAATTGAAAATCGGTTCATAAATTTGTGAGATATTTCCCCCCTCACCCCCCCGGAACTTATTTTTTTTTTAATAGCAAAGTACCCCTTGTGACATATCAAATGAAAGAGCATGAAAAAAGAAAAATTTTGGCAAAATTTATTTTTCATTTGATATGTCACAAGGGCGGGTACCTTGCTATTAAAAAACAAGTTATGGGTAGGGGAAAAGGGGGGTGATTATCTCACAAATTCATGAGCCGATTTTAAATTTTTTTTCACCAAAAATTTTCTTTTTTCATGCTCTTTCATTTGATATGTCACAAGGGGTACTTTGCTATTAAAAAAAATTAAGTTCCGGGGGGGTGAGGGGGGGAATATCTCACAAATTTATGAACCGATTTTCAATTTTTTTTCATCAAACATTTTCTTTTTTTATGCTCTTTTATTTGATATGTCACAAGGGGTACCTTGCTATTAAAAAAAAATAAGTTGGTGGCAGCGAGGGAAAGGGGGGGAATGTGAATGTAACGTTGAATTCAAAACAATTGGTCCCCCTACGTCAATAGATGATTCCCGCAAACTGCATATTTCTATCTATTGCGGTTTTTACATAAATAAAGATGCAAGTTTTTAAAAAAACACCCTGTATACGTGATGGATAGTATGTTTCAGTTATACTTTTTGGAAGTAAGTTTCTGATATGTTTTATAATGCATTTTTCTAATATTCATAAGGAAGTATACTACTGTACTGTGAGGCACTGGGAAGCGAGGGTCTAGTGCTAGAGCTTGGGCCTTTGGAGGCCGAGGTACCGGATTAAAATCCCACCATCACCAACGGATTTTATCAACGTGTTAATGCCCTGACCCTCTAGGACTAGCCTGAAGTAGTTAAACCAGTTCCGGGCTAGAACCAAGGGTCCTAGAACGTTTAAGTGTGATATAATGTAATAATAATTTTACAAAACGGTGAAGCACTGACCTAGGCCTACGTTGGAGACGCGCAGCCCGCTCTTGCCGATGTTGCGGTAGCGCAGGCCCGGTGTCACCGTGGACGACTGTCGTGTTACGGACGGCGTGTTGATGTTCTGTAGCAACAGCTGTTCCTTGGAGCACGGTTGTTGCAGCTGCATGCACAGCTGTTCATTCGTGCTTTGGAACTCCTCCATACAGTCCAGACTGGCGATGGGGGCTCGACAACTGCAACAGATGTAAAATACAATTGTAGCAACAGCTGTTCCATACAGTAAAAACTCCATAATCGTAGGTCAATTTTCCAATGTGGCGACTGTGGCACAACTTCAATTTTAGGGGACTTTTAGTTTGTTCAAAAGGTACACCCAACCTCAGTACCAAATTCCTTGCTTGTACATTTTTTTGGATCAAAACATATTTTTATTGTACTAAGCATTGTTCTCAGTTTGAAATATCGCCATACAAAAAATATATATATATATACCCCTCAAGCTAAAAAAACTGTAAAACCTGAAGTTTGTTATAACTTTTGTAATCATTAATGTCATATCAATAAATTATTAACATGTATTAACCATAGAACCAGTCATCATAGTCTACGACGATTTTTGTGAATTTATACGGTAGCCACGAAAAAATGATGTGTTATAATTTTATACAAATTATACTCTTATATATACTTTATATATTGGGGAAGATTTCCCATAAACAAGTAACAAATATAAAACCGAACACACAAAGTAGTTTGGGGAAGAAATTTCCCTAGGTAGGGAAGAAGTTATTGACCAATAACCAACGCAGGTGAGCCAAGGGAGGGAATTTTCTTTATATCCAACCTTCAAACGCAGAGATTATATCCCGTAAAACTGTTCAGCTGCAACAGAGGGACGTTATAAATTTGTTTTACGGTTATTTTCCATTTCGGACAAGGAAAGTTTACTGCTAAGCTGTGAAAACGAAATTGCTCCTCTTAGGCACTTTGGATCGACTCTCACTGTAGACGCTGTGAAAATAAAGTGTACACTGCATTCAAGTGCAGGTACGACATAAGTGTTAACATGTATTCCACAGTTTGAGATTGGAGTTGCAGTTCATAAAAGAAACTGACGGGAACGTGATAGTTTAAAGGGTTGGCTAAATTGAATGTGAAACTTTGAAAATTAAGTTACATTCAGTACGTTTAAACAGATTCAAGTGATTAAGTGTCCATGATTAATTGTCTGGTTACTCGAGTTGTTATAGTGCTCACCTTCAAATCTGACCGTCGCTGGTTCGATTCCAGGAAATAAATTAACGATGCTTTCCAACAACAAGTCGATGACAAAAAACAAAAACCTGAATAAATGCAACTGGAGTATACTTTATAGACAGAAATTACAACTTATGACAAATTTTCGTACATGTAGACAATTCGCTGCAACATCTAATTTAATGTAAAGTTTTCCACAATTTTCTAATATTTAAACATTTTAAGAAAATCTGATATTTTGTTAATGTAAAAACTGTGAGGAAATATTCATTAATTCGTTCGCATGTGGTTGTGGACTGGTATCTACCCTTCATATAAATAATACTATGATGACTAACAGTGGAACATAACTTACCTAACAAATAAGTTAACCTACATTTCCGCAGACAAATATATCGAATTCGATAAAATTAAAACACTGCTGATGCGTCACACGAAACAAATTTTGTGATCGACGATTAATTAGAATTCTAAATCAATCAACGCACACATTAACGTCGTATTTTACACTCGCAAACTTTTAATGAAAACGAATCCCTCATTCTGTGATTTATTCTGACACGTTCAAACGAATAACGATTATGAAATGAACGATGAGCTTTGAGGTTATGTTTCGTCGTGTTGCTAAGCAACGGTGACAACATGGTTTTCTTTCTCTCTCTTGCACTTTGCTGCATCATCGATTATACGATTGACGGACATGTAACTAGATTTTGTATTGGTGACGTCAGCCTCTTCTACTTTTAACCAATTGTAGATTTATCAACTTTGTGTTTGAATTAAATTATTTAAAACAGTGTTTCTGTCCGGAGTAGAGCGTGTTTCATGTTTAAATTGCTACTTCTTGAAATTAAAAGTACTTCACATAGACAAAAGATTTATTCTTGGAATATTATTTGTTCTTAAATCATTGGCAAGAATTCGCACACAGTTAAACTTAACAAGGAAAAAACATGTGAAATCAGAGTCCTTTTAAAGAAAAAGGTCGTCACTAAGTGTCCTATGTAAATGAAGTTGATGTACGTAACATAACCTAACTTAACTTAACCAAAACTAACCTAGCTTCCATAGGTTAAATTGAAATAGTAACCCTCTTCTTGAAAATACTCCAAATACATACACTCCAATGTACCTAACATAAACACACAAACAAACAATCTTTATATTTAACAATTGGACGATAATCCTATTTGTAGTGACCATTCAATCGAATGCATAAATTATGGATGCCAAGGGTAGTAAATGTTAAATCACCACCTTCTTTCGAACCCTAACCTATGTTCATTTATTTCATTAATTGAAATAGATTTTCTTAAACGGTACCTATTCAATAACTTCAAATTTACATCACCAGTAAATGAAACACAAGAACATTCCGCACCCCAACCATACCCCATTTCCACTCAAAATGCATTCGATTTTGCGAGTCTGCAAAAGTAACATTACGAAGTGCAAAGCAAATGAAATGTGAAGGGGTTAAACGCACTTGAATCAGAAATGGCGTGACGTTATGATAGGGGAGGGGGGTGGTTAGGGGGGTTGTAGTGGAGGGAGTTATTCCAATCGATTTTGAGGCCATTTGTCTGTATTCCCTCCTGACCCACTTCCTCCCTAACAGTTATATCGGGCAAATCATCCTAAGTCCTTTGTAATGGGATTTCAAGTAGGTGTCAGGCAGGGTTGTTAGTAGGGATAAAATGAGGATTCTAGAACAGGCTGTCGTGGTCCACTTATTTGGGTTAAGTGTAGCTTACGTTGTGCGAGCTGGGCCATTTTCATGTTGTATTCAATCAGAAAAATATTTTATCATTAGGTGATTAGTGAACATAATAATTTCTTCCCATGCAGAAAAATTAAAATTACAAGTTCATCATACAGACATGGATTAGTATTTAAATTATACAAAATAGATACTATGAGTCACGATGGGTAATGTTTGGACTTTGTAACGGAGAATTGGTGGTTGCATGTAACTATAGATCAAACATACTCCCTTGATAGATCTATCATCCTTATGGATCTGCTGAAGACAATTTTATTATTAGTTTAGTCCGGTGTACAGTAGGGGTCATGTTATGCTTGCAATTTGTTTCTTGTTATTTCAGTAATTTAGAACCCCCTTTAAACAAATAAAATGGTCTAATCATAAACAATAACTCGTCCCTTAGTTATACTGTTTAACAAATAGTAAAGCACAAATTATTAAATATACATACAGTACTCTAAATTAGTATTAACAAAATTAGTAAAACATATATCATGGACCTTTAAACATTGGCGAAAAAGCTGCACATAAACCACAGCCTAATAATTAACTTAGAACATATCAATAAAAACATGTAACCTATCCAAATAATTACATACATGTAACTGGATATTAATGTCGGCTGCAGTAATGTTGGCCCATTCGGTGTAATGGCCCATTTCCCAACGGTATTTGTAATGCACACGAGCGCTATTGCTCCAATAGAATGCGCCATTAGACCAAATCTGGCGCGATTAAACCTCATAATTACAATGTTATGAGCGCATTAAACTTTGATGGGGGGTTTAATCCATGTTCATGCAAATTTGTTTACGGTAATATCAGTGTTAAATATATTTATAAATAATATGAATCGTCATAGACTGTTATTTAGTAACAGAGAAACATAGATCAAACCCCAACAAATAGTATATATCTTGATTTTTAAATTAAAACGATTACAAAAAGTGTTATGCAGTAAAACACCAATTTTCAGGCAACAAAATAATGTAAATATTTTCCTTTTAACCAAATAAACACAACCATCTGTTCCCTTTAGTTAATAGTGTACAAATCAAAAGTATTCATCTGTTCAAATGTAAACAAATCTTTTCTCCATAAGGATAACATGGGAACTTTAAAGGCCACTGGGGCAGAGCCCTGTGGAATTTTTCAAAACCTTATTTCTAACAAACCTTCCTGGGGGTATAAATAACAACTTCCAAAAGTTTCATTCATTATGACTGGATGGCCGGTTTGGTAACTCATAAAGGACAAACAAACGACAAACATACATTTGATTTTATAAATATGTATTTGAATCGGGATAAAGTATTGTCTATCAAAACTCTCTAAATTATTGTTTAAATTAAATACAATTTTAGAATGGTTTTCTTTGGAGGATGCATGTTGCACATTTAAAGATTCTCCTTTCATTAGAGACCTCATTATTAAAATATATATTCTAGGGAAGGTTTCGTGATTTTAATGCGGAATATTTGTTATAGTCTACCAAGATTACTCTTTGTCATGTCTCACATCAAAGAACAGTAGGTTCAGAACTCTTTTAAACATTACTTCAAACTAGGTCTAAAGGGTCACAGCGTTATTACTTATATAAAATACATTGGCGATTGGCGTGATTTGAACCCGGCACCTCGGAGACCGAACCCCCGCTCTCTACACCATAATTAGGCCTACTCACTGTACAATATGAAGTAGTCAAATATTAGACGACACAAATTATTGACGAAAAAAAATTTATTTCCAAGAATGTGATTTATTACTGTTGGGAAACCGGGTCACAACAAACGATAAACAAAGATAACTTTTACAATCAGTCAACAGCTTTTTCACGACTTTTATAACAAAGGTGAAGTTTATTTCACCGAATAACTTGCATGTAAAACAGCTTGATGTATGCAGATGTGGAAAATATGGCGGTTACAACTTTCAACCGTAGTTTCTCATGCGTAAAATAAAAAGGCTTTTGCTTTTGCCAGAGGGGGAATGCCTTATGTGAAAAACACTCTTCTTTCGTTTCTTCTATTGAATTTCCTCGTATCCTTGGTGGATACAAAAATCCATATTTTAAATATTTTATCCTTCTAAACCTTAATATTTTTCTCTAACTCATAAATGTTTTTGGTTTGAAGCATCGAGACCTTAATGGACACAGATGTGAAAATGTATTATTTACTTAGAAATTATGTACTCTATGTACATATAAAA